TTAGCTCAGTGGCACCATGCCTGCCTCGCAAGTGCAAAGTTCTGAGTTTAATCCCTGCCACAAAAAGAAAAGAAAAGAAAAGAAATCTTGCAAAGAGGATATTCTTGTATATTTTGGAAAAGAAAAAAATCAAAAGAGATAATGACTCTGTGCAAGTAGGCAAATATGAATGTGAAAAAGTTCATATCAAACATTATCTATTGAGCAATTTAGTATAGACTCCATTTAATCAGATCCCTTCAGAATTAACAGCAGTTCTATGAATTTTATCCTTGTGACTGGGAGATTCTCTCAGAGCATTTATACCCTTTCATATGAATAAAATATTACAAAGAGATAAAACACTGCAGGGCAATAATTAAACCAATGTGAATGTGTAACTTTTTACTAACTCTCTGTGCTAAATTCAGTACTTTCTCATGCACCCTCCAATTAGTTTCTTATGTCAGTCATGTGAAGGAAGGTGTTATTTTCATTTTACACAGATCAAAAGGTATAGTGATGACATTTGAAACCCCATCTTCTAATTCTAAGTCCTATAATCATTTCACTGCATCACACTCCTCTTTAATGACTAGCATTTTTAGAGAACAAATGATTAATGATCACATAAATATTGTGTAACATTTTTTGAACTCTTACAGAGTACAGTTCACTGTCCCTAGTTTTAATTTAAGTAAACTGCAGTTCACATTTAGTAGTGGGCTAGGATTGTGGTAAACATATGTAAATCCTTATGATTCGTGTAAGTGACCTCCAACTCTGTCTCGTGATTTTCCTTTCAGATACGACTATCGCAGGGCCCAGTGGGCACTCAACAAAGGGAAATTAGATTGTCAAATGTGCTCATAGCCTGTCCGTGCATCTTTACTTCATCCACTCTCTCACTGTAAGCCCAGTCTGGGCCAAACTCATTCTTGGACTTTAGTCTTCTACCAGATGAGGAGAGAATGAGAAAGACAGAGCCAGTTCCCAAGAAGTATGGGTGTGTAGCCTTTGAGGTGGGCGTGGCCTTTAGAGAGAAGACTGAATGACAGGGCTACTTTTTTGAAGATATTTCTTTTGCAGCGAAAAGTAAGAGAAGAAATCCTACAAAAGGTAGCTAAGGATTGTGAACCGGATCATCTTTTCATTCTCCAAAAATGATGCGTAAAGAATTAGTTAAGACTTTTTTGCTTGTTCTGTTTCTTTGGCCATGTTGCAAATCAAATTGGACAACATGCAGTCCCTCATAGGTTTTGTTCATTTAAAACCAACTTTGGAATACTTATTTTTCTAGGATTTTTCTTGCGATGGTATTTTTCTTAGTACATCTTTGTAGTACATAATGATACGACATTCATTGTGGGGAAGGGTACGTGTAAATAACACATCTCAATTCTTCTTATCTCCTACCCTCCTCCATTCCAGCATCTCTTAGGCCCCCTCCCATTTGCATGAGATCTGTCTCCTTATTTTCTATTGTCCTTTATTCTGCTCTTGTTAGCCTTTTGCAAGCTTTCCATTTTAAAATCTACAATTCTTTCTGTTCACAACTTTTATACACTTAATTCTATTACCAAAGTTACAAAACAGACTAGGCTGCCCAATTTCCAAAATTACTTAAGAAATAAATGATCAGGGATGGGGATTTAGCTCAGTGGTTCTGCTGCCTGCCTCACAAGTGAAAGGTCCCAAGTTCGAGCCCTGGTACCAAAAAAAAAAGAAAGAAAGAAATGGTCAGTGTAAGAAAGGGTAAATTACAAAGAAATCAGAGTCGATTGGCTGAAAAATAAAAAATCAGAATAGGGTCAGAATATTCACATTATAAATTTCTAGCACAGAAAGCAGAAGGTCAAAATTACTACTTTAGAATTTTTTAAATTAATTATGTTTATTGGTGCAATTTAGATATGCATAAATGATCACATGCATCATAGGGAATTTGTACCTGTTCATGATATATCTTGATTCTTATTTTTTCCCATTCCCTTCCTCTCCTTTCAATGCTTCTTCCCCTCTTTATTTATTTATTTATTTATTTACTGATTTATTTTTGGTACCAGGGATCGAACTCAGGACCTTGCACTTGCAAGGCAGGCAGCAGAACCACTGAGCTAAATCCCCGGCTTTCCCGTTCTTATTTATAAAAGCTTTGTTTCCATTTTATCTTTCTTTTCTCATGTTTTTCTTTTTCTCCTCCTTCCTTTCCTCCTACCTCCTCCCCCCTCCCTACTGCCCCTTTCCACTTAAATATTTTCTTCCTATTTCATAATATCTATTACGCATTTTGGTCCTTATTTACACTTTTAGTTGCTCACACTAGAGAAACAATGTGGTATTTACATGTTTGTCCAATTTATTTAAGAGTGTAGTCTTAAGGTGTCTATTTACCTAGACATGTCTCAAGTTTATCCTTCTTTACAGCTGAGTAGTGCTCCATTGTATAAAAAAAAACTCTACATCTTCTTTATTCATTCATCATTTGATGGGCATTTGGGCTGTTACCAAGTTTTAGCTATTACAAACTGTGCTGCTATAAACATGAGTGTGCATATATCACTGTGGGGTGATGCTTTTAATTCTTTCAGTAAGATACCATGAAGGGGGATAGCTGGGTCAAATGGAACTTCTAGTTCTAGTTTTTGAAAAATCTCCACACTGATTTCCATAGTGGTTGCACCAGTCTATACTCCCAACAACAGTGGAGTAGGGTTCTTCTTTTCTCCACAGCCCCGCCAGCATTTGTTATTGGTTGATTTTGTAATAGCAGCCATTATTTCTGGAGTGAGATGGAATCTCAGCATCATTTTACTTTGTATCTTTCGAATGACCAGTGATGTTGAACATTTTTTCATTTATTTATTTGCTATTTGCACCTTTTGATGTGAGATGCCCATTTCAGATGCCCATTTTTAACTGGGTCTTTAAATTGAGGGGGATGATATTTTTGAGTTTTTTATATAGTGTAGATATTAGTCTTTTGTCTGAGGAACAGCTGGCAAAGATGTTTTCCCACTCTGTTGGTTGTCTCTTCACTCTGTTGGTGATTTCTTTTTCTGTGCAAAAGCTTTTTAAAATAACATGATGAGATCGCAGTTGTTGATTCTTTATAATATGTCTCGTGTGATCAGGATTTTGTTCATAAAGTCTTTGCCTATCCCTATGTCTTCAAGAGTTCCACCTATTCTCTCTTCCAGGAGATTTACTGTTTCTGTTTTAATATTTAGATCTTTGATCCATTTTGATTTTATTTGGTACTGGGGATCGAACTCGGGTCCTTGCGCTTGTGGGGCAGGCGGTGGAACTACTGAGCTAAATCCCCAGGTAATCCCTTTTTATTTTACTTTAGTGTGTGATGAGAGATATGGGTCTAGCTTTAGTCTTCGGCATGTGGAAAGCCAGCTTTCCCAGCACCATTTATTAAAGAGGCTGTCTTTCTTCCAGTGAAGGTGTTTGGTCCCTTTGTCAAAGATAAAGTGGCTGAGTGTGTTTGGAGTTGTTTCTGCATCTTCTGATCTGTTCCACTGGTCCTCAGGTCTGTTTTGTTTGCCAGTACCATGCTGTTTTTATCACAGTAGCTCTGTAGTATAATTTCAAGTGAGGGATTGTGATGCCCCCTGCCTTGCCTTTGTTGCCCAGAATTTTTTTTGCTATTCTAGGTCTTTTCTGGTTCCAAATGAATTTTAGGAATGTTTTCTCTAGTTCTGTGATGTATCCTACTGGTATTTTGATTGAGATTGCATTAAATATGTATAACAATTTTGCGAGTATGGCCATTTTTACCATGTTGATTCTTCCTACCCACAAGGAAGGGATATTTTTCCATTTTCTGATATCCTCTTCAATCTCTTTTTTCAGAGTACTGTACTTTTCAATGTAAAGATCTTTTACTTCCTTTGTTATATTAATTCCTAAGATTTCATTTTTTTGATGCTATTGTACTTTAGAATTTGAAGGACAGTGGTGAAAATAATCTTCAGGTCATTCTCTTTTTGGAATAATTGGCCTGATCTGCCAGTATTAGCTTTCAAAATGCAGAACATAGTATAAGCTCAACGATGCCCTTTAAATTGATGATATTTTTCATTTTCCATGAATATTTTCCTTGCCAGAGCAGTTGAAGCCTTCATTATTTAAAAAATAAAGTATAATCAAGAAGCTAAAAATGAAATTTCCACAGTTCTGTTCTCTTAGTTAATGAAGATTTCCAAATTAATATCAATAGAGCAGCCGTTTATTTTCAAGGAATCCATGTAGATATCACAGTCATAATCAGACTGAGTTTGTTTCAGAAAGTACACTTTTGATAACCTATCCAAAGATTTTATTTTAGTATAAAGAGTGACAATAACAGAAATATTAAAAGAAAGATGAACTGTGATTGACACAGTAGAAAATTCAATTACTTGGAAAGTATATTTGAGGCACTAGAGTTGGAAATAATAATATATTAGTGACTGAAATGGACATATTGATGTTTTAGAGCCATGCTTTGGTGGACTATTTTATGCTTTGTTTTTCCTTAATATTGGGTCTCTAGCTTGACACTTAAGAGCATGCACCTTGAACAAAATTATCTGTTTTTATCAGTATAATCTGTAATAAGCATGATTATATACATAAAGTGACAGTGGCTTAATAGCACTTCCTATAAAACCTATGTATGAAATGGGTAGATGACTGGTATTTTCAGTACACTTTCAGATCCAGAACACTAACAGTTCAGAATCCTCTCTCTGAAGGTTCTTCCTTTCCCTTCACTGCTCTTCCCAGATTATAGCCAAGAAAAATATATAATTATTGGCAGAGTGATGTGTCCAGTGCTCATAAACACATGGATTTCATATCATAATATGAATCAAAAGTATTTATAGATGACAATAAAAAATTTATATCAATTTTCTTGCTTTTTATTAACTTTATGTTAAAATAACCTGAAGTTCCACATCAAAGTATAAACTCACGATGATTAAAATTGTTTTATCATTTTTGTTTGTTTCTTTGTTTTCTGTTCATAGAAAATGATGAGCATTTACACGGCTTGACAACCCGGTTAGAAAATGCCGAGGCTAGAAATAGTGACCTCCTGCGAGCTTTGAACGACACCGTAGGAAAGTTATCAGCTATTCCAAATGGTAAGCATTCCAGACCCTGCACTTTCTGCCAGTTCATCTGAACTTTCTAAGAACATTTTTAACTTCTACCGTTTTTCTGGCATCATCCTTGTACTATGGTCAGGAAATTAGATACCGGTTTTCTTCCTTATGGGTTGTTCTTTGTGAGAATGAGAAACTAAACCACATTTAACATTGTGATATTACTTATCCTTTGTTGCCTTCAGCTGTCATCCAAAGGGACATGTTACAAACAGAAGGAAAGAGACATCTTATTATTATATTGTCTTCCAAGTTTCAGCGTAAGAATTCTTTTGTTAATGTAAAGGAATAGAATCATAAGGCACTATTCTTTGACATCATGATGTACTACCACAAAGTTGCAGTTTATTACAGCACCTACAGTAATAGATGACAGCCTAGTGCCATTCCACACAGCTCTTGAAAAAATTTAATTCCTCACGTATTCCAGCTTTTAAAAACATTAATGGTTGAAACATGTTCACATTCTCTTTCTGCCTATTAGTAATTCCTTGCCATTTTTGCTTGGTATTAGTTTAGAAAAGTATATATTCTTTTAGGGCTATTATTTTTATATTTTAATAGCACTGTATAACAACCAGGGTTATAAGAACTGTTGAGTGCTCACTCAGTGTGCTTGTGTAAATGTATTCACTTGTTATACCGATCCTACAAGGTGAATAGCATAATTACCCTCACTGTCCAGGGACAGAATAAGACAGAGGATACAGAAGGCTGTTGTTTATAGTAGCATTTGTGCAACTTGACTGGAGTAGAGGTGTTTGTGGGGAGGGATAAAAGAGATGTGCTGTGTACCTTTGCCAATTCCCCACAATGAATGTAGTCAGTACATACTGCAAACATGGACTAATGAAAATTTAATTTTTTTAAACCATTAAGTAATTCTTTAGATTTTCATGTCGCCTCTTGGGTAGTGATGGTGGTAAGTCCCTGACTCAGAAGCAAGTTCTGTTCTGGGAGGATGTTTGTTAAGTCAGATTTGTTTGTAAATCCGACTCATTTGTAAGTCGGACAAAGTTGAGTCTTATACACCTTTGACATAAATATACAATCAAAAACAAAAAAAACCAAACACACACACAAATACTATAAATAAACTATTTTTACTTTTACAGTTACCTTAAAATGATAAAGTAGACATGTGAGCTGCTTGCATGATTTGTATGCATCCACGAATGTTCATAATGCAAGGTCTGTTTGTATCTGTGAAAGTTCACTACTTGAATGCTCCTAAGTCAGGAACTTACTGCACCTAGAAAATCAATGCTGAAAACAAAAATATACTAACACATAGTCTAACATTCCTGAAAATTTTCTCTGTCCTAAAATTGAAACACATTCTCCACCCGCCTCAGGAAATGCAGATGAAGTCTTAAGCCCAGTTATGTTGAAGCTACATAACTCATGCAAATAAATTTCACTCTTTAATATGTTCAGCAGCAAATCACAATATGCCCTTATACAATGAACATTTAGAATAATCACTTTGCTATTTTAAGAGCTAATCAGGTATTCATAGCAAAGGTCTCTGAGAAAATTTAATTTAGCTAAAAAATTTGCTTCATTTGCTACAACTGAATGAGACAAAGTTCAGCCTTTCCCTCCCATAAAAGTGTCCCTGAGGTCAGCCAACCGCAGCCTCACTGTGACAAGCATGGATTAAACCACCAACTCTAAACCCTTTGTTTTATTTCTCATACTCTCTTCTACTGACAGACACAGCCGCTAAACTGCTAGCTGTTAAGGACAAAGCCAGACAAGCCAACGACACAGCTAAAGATGTGCTGGCCCAGATTAAAGACCTCCACCAGAATCTTGATGGCCTGAAGAAAAATTACAATAGACTGGCAGGCAGTGTGGCCGAAACGAATGCCATAGTAAAAGATCCTTCCAAGAACAGTAAGCTCTCCTTTTTCACTGTGATGATGTCATTTGTCTCTTTACACTATAAAAGTGTCCTAGACTCATACAAGTTAGAGCTGGAAAAGATCCTTGTGGTGGGGCAGCCTGTTCTCTCCCTCACACCTTAGGCATGGAAACCGAGTTGCCTACCACTCCCCAGTCAGAAATGAAGTCCCCTAACTCTGCCGTTTGCCTTCGTCAACTACGCTTTGTCCATCAGAGAGGAGATTAAGAATTCTCATTGTCTGCATTATATCTGGTATAAAATTGCCAAACACTTTTGAACCTATTAGTGTAACTGAAAACACATTTGTTCTCAGGAAACTGTCTACTCAGAATTGGCCAAGTTTCATGGGACAGAGTTTAAGGGACACACCCATTGGCAGACCACTCAGAACAGGGTATGCGAACATCAATTTGAGAGGCATTTATATTTGAAAATTTTGATAATTTATTATTTATATTCCAGCCTCTTAACATTTCCAGGGAATAAAGTAAAGCATGAATCTAGTTTATAAAGACTATGTCTTTACATCTCTTACACACTGTATCAAATTATATTGATTTAATAATTTACTGAGAAACTCTAGAAAAATTTAAGATGATAATTTATATTGTCAGCTCACAGAGTTGATAAACACTGACATTTTAATGTATTCTTTTCCTGTCCATCAGATGATGAGACATTATTTTGGTGTATAGTTTCACCCAGGGACGTGTTTGGATTTTTGTTCTTTTGAGTTTCAAGAGACTGGCCCTCTGCACATATCATTTCCATAGGGAAGTAGAATGTGCATAGGTGCGGTACAATGGCACAAACACTGTTGCTGACATTCTGTGAGGTGTAATCCAGATGCAGTGTGACTGACTCAAAAGGGGGAGCCTGATGCTGGCACCCTCTGCTGCGTTCTCATGCCAAGGATATGACGAGAGGACAGACACTAGTGTGACACTGGGTCATGAGGACTCCTACGACCTCTTTCCCTACAAGAAAGAGCACAGACATCTGACACACATTCAGAGCTAGGAAGAGGACCCCTTTCTTGCCATTTCTTCCAGGAAAATAAAGGGGAAATATGAATGATTTTTAGTTTATTTTAGTGTAAACCCAGATATAGCTTCTTCTGTATCCCAAAGATTCATTCTGAGTAACTTCTGATACATGCCATATCATAACATTTCCAATCAAAATGAGGGAAAGATACATTTTTATGTAAATATTGCTATCCATTTCACTTATTTTATCATTTGAAACATCATTTTATTCTATTTTAGATTGACTTATAACCAGTAATGGCCTTTTGATAATATGTATCTATGATTTTTTAAATTTACCCTCCATTAACAGAAATAATTATCTATAAATATTAAATTTTCTCCATTTTTTGTTTTATTAGAACATTATAAGATCATTTTGTTCAATATGAACAAGATTGCTAAATGACATATTTTGTGTACTTTTATTTCATAATGTTTGTTTAAAATTAGGTGTATTACTAATTTGTACCTGTTGTAAGAAGTAACATTTTTGTGATAGTCACTATGTTGTAATACTTACAGAACATATTTCCTCATGAATTTTCTAATTTCTTTTTATTTTACTTCCTCATGAAATTACCTACAGAAATCAGTATGTATACATTTACTCATATCCCATTAAGTAACTTTTATGCTTAATTCATTGTCTATCACAGAAAGCTCAGCTTGGCATGGCACCATAGTTTGGGATTGCTGTAAACATCACATGGGAATTCTTTCTGCTGTCACTGTAGGAAGGCTAGATGTATAAAAGTGTCTTCTGCTGTATAAGTTTAGAACTTGGATATATTTGATATTCAGTGCTTAAAAGCTAGAGGAGTATCTATGATATGCACCAAAAAGTTGAAAAATGATTCCCTGCACAGGTTGAACTAAATTACAGTGCTTCTGCTAAAACAAATTCAGCTGCTGCTGCTCAAATGATTTCTTCAACTAACGTTAAAATAAACCAGGCCTCTGCTGTTGTTATTTCCCGGCAAAAGCCCAGGTTCCCCTCCTCCTTATAAGTAATTTGTCTCAACTTTTAAATAATTAAATTTGAAGACATGCATAGAAATATTGAGTCTTAACAATTGAGCAACTACTGGAATATAAAACTATTCTCTCTTAAATATCTCACTGTCTAACTTGAAAATCAAAATAACGACAACAAAAAATAAAATAAATCAAAATCTGAAGAATATGACTAAGGCTATCCTCAGTGCAAAATGAGAGAAATTATCAAATAAGCACTTAAATAAACAACTTTTAAGCAATCAATTCAGTGAGTTAGAAAAGATACAACTGACTTAAAGAAAAAGGATTTTAAAATTAATTAATTAGAAGACAGAAAATAATAGAACTACTAAATCCAAGAGGTAAGCCTTTAGTGATATAAATCAAAAAGTCAAATGATTGGCTGGTTTAAGCAAGAAAAATAAAGCACAAATAGGCCAAGTTCTAAGGGAGGAAATTTAATACATAACAGAGTACTTGGTGAAATTTTACACTAATAAATTTTAAATCCTAAAAGATACAATAATCTAGAAAATTACTACCTTATCAAAATCCATTTTAAAAAGTGATTTTAAAATACATTCAGGTAAAAATTAGGAAAGAAAATGAGAACGTTTTCAAAAACTACTGTAAATGAAAGCATCTGACTTAATACTACAGATGACTTAGTTTTCACACCTCCCAGGAGAACATCCTGTATTACTTAAATTGCTTCCAAATAGAGAGGAAACAGGAGGGACAAGAGTCCTCCAGAGTCCCTTTCGAAGTGTTTGATGTAGGAGCTTTTGAAAGCATTAGAAGGCCCTGCATTTTATCTAAGCCTACATCATCTTTGCTTAACTACTCTTTCTCTTTCTCAGGAATCTAAATCTAAGGCCATATTCCTTGATTCTGGAGTAATGTGTAGAATATCAGAATAACACTGGAGAATTAAAGGAAGGAAACGAATGAACGGTTTATTTCAAGTGTACCAGACAGTGGGATAGCTGTGGTTATGTCACCTGTACAATTATAGAGCAAGGGCTTTATGCTAGATAACCTGCATTTTGAGAAGAATATACTCAATCCTTGAGTTAATAAAGTTAATAATAAACCTACATTCTTTTTAAACACCACTAACAGTACAGTTTGTATTTATAAGCATGAGTTGAAAATACCTATTTCAAAACCTTGTTTAAAAATGACTCACTTTGGTTTGAGCACTTGATTTCATCCGGAGGGTGGGCGCTCCAGTGTCAGCCAGAGAGCAGGTAGGCCAGCTAGCCTTGGACCTTAGTGCCGGTTTTTCATGAGGATGACAGTAACAGAATGCTGAATGATAGCTGTTTAATCAGATAATAAAAGACATGCTTGGGGTAAGACCGCCAGCACCCCGAGACAGGATGTTATTTTTCCATTTGTTTTATGCCCTCCCACGAAAAGCACGTACTGAGGGTCTATGGATCAGTGAACGCCTGCAACTATCTTAGGGTTGAAACTTTTGAAATTGCCAATATTCTACTTTTTTAACCTACAAAAACAGTCATTTAATATGGTTCAACATCATATATACCCCAGAACAATCAGCTGTTCTTCAAAATGAAAGTGAACTGTACCTTGAAAGATTTAATTAAAATACAGCACAGGCTTTCAATCTAAGGGTTGCTCAACATCGAAATCTTCTTCAAGCCACATTTTGCTAGCTTCTTTCTTGAAGATGTGTAAAGAAAGACAGTGAGAAAAAGAAAGAAAACCAATATTGTGCAAGAACCTTGATTAAAATACAGTTCAGGCTGGGATAGACTAGGTGACATTTTCAAGATGCTTTCACTTTCCTACTTATATGACTAAAGTTCTGTTCTATAAAGGTTAGCTTTTTGGCTGAAGCTAAAAATTAAGCATGGAATTAAGTCCATCCTATCTTCTACTTTCAATGCTAATTTTCACCTTAATCACAAAGCCAAAGACTTTTCCTAACATCTCTTCTGGGCTGCTTGAGTCTCCACTAAAATATTCTCATTTCACATTTGCCGGCACATTCTGCTTCAAGAGCCACAGCCTTGCTTGATCCCCTGGACAAGAAGAAATTGTTTAATTAAACATACCTCTGTGCTAATTTCTGTATGTGTGTGTGTGTGTATGTGTGCGTGCATGAATGCATATCTTCACGTGTGTGTGTACAGGAATGTGTTCTGTGCAGTTACAGATGCAGATGCCGCAGTGAAGAATCTAGAACAGGAAGCTGATCGACTCCTAGATAAACTCAAACCCATCAAGGAACTTGAGGATAACCTAAAGAAAAACATCTCTGAGATAAAAGAACTGATAAACCAAGCTCGGAAGCAAGCCAATTCTGTAAGCTCTTTTTATTTCCACAATCAGTAACTGATTATAACTGTTAGTATTATTTCTAGAGGGAATGTCACAAATACACACCCCTGAGTACCCTGTTGAACAATCTCTAATTCTTTTTTTTTCTTTACTTTAAAGCTACTTGTAGGTAAAGGGAGAATTAAATTTTTTATAAATGACAAATGACATTTCAAGAGAATGCTAATCACCCTTATTGTTGTAAAATTAGGGATCCTGGTATATTTTGTTTGTTTGTTTGTTTATTTATTTATTTATTTATTGGTACCAGGGATTGAACTCAGGTCCTTGCGCTTGTGCAGCAGGCAGATAAACCACTGAGCTAAATCCCCGGCCCCTGGTATATTTTATTACTGCTCAAATACACTAAAGTTTATCATGTCATAGAGGAAATAAGATGTGTATCAAACAAGTCTAAGATAATTCAGAAATATTGTGCCAATTATGTGGGCCTGAGGAAATGCTCAAAATGAAAGATCATTTCAAGTAGGTCAGAAGAGAACCCAAGGGAAGAACAGGAGCCAGGGCTTGAAATGATCTGATAGTGGTAATTGGGGACGGGGGATGTGGGAGGGCACCCCAGGACCAGGAAGGCTTGGACAAAGGCCAAAAGTGAAGAAAATCATAGGATCAGTTTCTGAAAGAGTATTCTATTTTGTCATGTTTGTTGCGTCAAGTGAACATGAAATTGGAAAGGCCAAGGGGAGCCAGGTCTTCTCTGCACTTAAATGATAAATTAAGCACAACCTATTGCTTGGCAATAATTGTACATGGGATGAACTGCATTGATGAAAGTGTTGGAGCCCAAACACTTTAATCGGAGTATACCAGACCTGTGCTTCTTAAATATCAACCAAGAAGGAGTCTGTAGCATGTAGGAAAAACTAGAAAGAAGACCCTGACTGTAGCAAAAAGAAAGTACTTCACATATCACTTCGATATGCATTTTAACAATGATATCTTTAGAGAAAAAGTAATAATAAATATTCTTAGGCTTCACATATTTAGCCACACATTTAGTTTCTGATTTAATTACCTAATAAAATAGGGAAATCTGGGCATATTTATTATTTCTTCATTGTAAGAAATCTAAAAATTTGCCCAAATATTCATCACTTGCAAATTCTTTTTTCCTTCCTCATAAAAAGACAAAATTGTGACATGTAAGTACATTTATGTATCTGTCTCAGCGTAATAGGTACACATGAAAAAAGGTATAAAATAATACTTTCAAAGAAATTTTTATTCACTTTACAAGTGGAAGTTACAACAAAATGCCTTATTTTTGTTAAATATTAAGAATATGTGAGTGGCCATTTTTAAATGAATTTTGTACAAACTGAAGATTATATTTTCTGACTTGTAGTATAATTTCAATTTGGCTTGAGTGCCTGGCTATGACCATAGCACATACATGGTATTAAAATTAAGAAAGACTTTTCTTAATTAAGAAATTAAAGACATTTATTTTAAAGTGGCTTTCTTTGGGCTTGTTGATTTTCAAATTGAGTAGCTGATACTTCTTTTTAAATGAATGTCCTAGTTACTGCATGAAAAATACAATGAAAATCCAATAGAAATAATGGGATACTCAATAATGACTAATTGAGTTCATGATGATTATATGATGAATAATGTCATGTCAGAAATGCCTTAGCAATATTAAATGCTTAATGATTTCTTTTAGAAATCTTACTAAGGGGTTGTATTAGACATACAATGACTGATAGAGCCAAAGGATGTTTGTATTTTAGAATGCTCCCCTTTTGTAAGAGGGATATATCCTAGTGATTTCTTCTAAAGAAAATTGTAGATAATGTATTTTAATTTACCTGTTTTAAGTTGCTCAAAAGACATATGTATAATTATGAATTAAAACAAAGAATTTATAAGGAGAAATTAGTAGTTATGAATTGGTTGCCAACAGTTTGGGCTGCCTGTATTTTTCAGGTACTGAGATTATATTTGAAACCAGAAGACAGAAAATACAGAGGGTTTTTTATATGTGTGCATAAGAGTTGAACAGTATTGTCTTTGTAAGATCAACTGCTGGCATATTGGGTATGGCAGTGTCATTTTGTTCAGAGAACTAAAATTTTAAATGTATAAAGTGGATTAATTGGTAATCCTAGTGGCAATAAATGTGCTTGGTTTTAAAATAGCTACTTTCCTACATTGAATTCTCAGGTTGAGCCCCATAGTTTGCCAGTTCTCAGTGCTGGTTCTCCATTCTGCATGGTGACAACTCCTTTCTAACAGGCAATCCTGTCATCTAGGGTTCTGCTAGCCATAGGAAAGCAGGTCTGAGACTCACCCTGAGACTGCACAGTCACCCATTCCACACAGACCCGGTCACTCCCTCTCTAAACAGTAACTGAGGAGTGCTGTTTAATTGTGTTCTTTAAGGCTCCTTTGTGATAATCTTGCCACAGTGTGGTCCTACAGCCAAGCTTATCAAGCATTTCTAAAATGAAGATAAAACAAACTACTTTGACTATTAATGAGTCCTCACTATGATTTTGGATATGATTTCTTGCCACAGACAGTTCGGCCTATTATTTAGTTCTGCTCATGAACGGCAATCAGATCTTGATTTCTTGTTCTCTTATAATACCAGTGGCACCTGTACCCCACCTCAGATATTAAACTTGCTTGACACCCAGATTTTCTATCACAATGGTTTTGGATCACTTGCTGCAAATTCCTAAAAACTCACTGTTTCTTACACAATTTTCTGAACATTAAAAAGAGACAAAGACTACATTTTCCCTACCTGCCCTCCACTATATGGTCTTTCTCTTGTGTTATTTCATCCTTTTAATCTCCAAGCCTTTGAATGACTCTTTGTACCACTGATATTCTATCATGTAGCATGCATTGTCAACTTCCATTGCACATCTGCTATGCTATTAACATCCAGAGTAGAAACTGTACATTTCCTGCTTAAGGCTTTCTGTAATTCTTTTTGATTCTTTTTGATTCACTCTCAGCTCCACATGTAGAAGGGAATTTCCATCATTTGTGAAGCAAAACACCAACTTCCTCACCGAAAACCACACTACCAGCAAGGTCACCACTCTAGAGCACAGAGCAAACACCCTGGACATCGCAGATATCCAATCCTGAATTCCTCAGTTAGGAGGCTGGGCCACACCCTGAGGGAGAAGACAGACAGGAAAGCAGCCTCGGAAGTAGGATCCTATGTCCTTCAGCTCCAGGCCACCACACACAGGGCCTTGGGAAGGATCCTTTTCTTGGGCAACAGCCCCTATCTATTTCTTTCCAACATGGAGATGCAATTTGCTCAGCAGCTCAGGCAAGGCAACAACAACACCTAAATATGCAATCTATGGGGAGTCATAGGTGCTGCCACGGATCTGCTGTATTCCCAGAGGTTCCCAAATGTGTTTCGATCCACCTGGTCATCAGTACCCCAAATCTCTCCTTAGCTCTCCTTTTTGAATCCAACCAGTTTTGCACCTAGCACCTCCTCAGTACTTTTTAGCCTTGGAGAGGGGCCGCCATACTCCCTACATTCACAGCCTAATCAAATTCTTGGAGACACCCTCTTGGCGTTTTCATAATATGGAGGCTGTGTTGATAGCCCAGGCTACTTGCTTGGACTTTGAGAAGGTTTTGCACGGGGGTAACAACAATGCTAGTTGCTTTTCCCTCAAAAATGCAAACTAAATGAGTAACACAAAGCATCAGAAGAAATGGGAAGGTAAAAGTTCACTAGGTGTGAGTACCGATGATCTTCTGGAAGCTAGGCATTCGAACCAGTAGCAAAAGTGCTTTTGCATCATCTCTCTTCTGCCTCCTACTTTGGGTGCCATCAATCAGCAAAGTAACACCTTCTCTCTGAGTCTAAAGAACTAGGTTGCGGTCCTGAAAGTGCTCCTTTGATGGTAATTCTGTACCTCACCCAAAGCAAATTAAATCCAATAGCGTAATTTCTGATTGAAGGAAGATTTCCTGAGTATAAGCTAAAACTGGAAGGAACAGTGTCATTTGATTCACATAGGAATTTCTTTCTTAGCAATTTACAGTAATTTTTAAAGTACTATCCAAAAGGAAAAAGGATCTGTTACATATATTAGTAGTGATACCCTTTGGAAATTATTTCCATCTTATTTCCTGGAGACTTAATAAAAAGGTATAATTTATTCTGAAATGTATGCTCTGAGGGGAATTGATTAATATTCTTATTGTTAGAACATCTAGAACAAAATCTATTTGGCCTCTTTCAGCTGTAAGAAAATAGCAGGGCCGGTAATTTCCTCTTGAAAACTAAAAGAAAAATGGCTTCCATACATTCATCCCCACATTCATCCCCTACTTTAAACGATACCAAAATTGCTGAAATGTGAATTGCAAAATGTCATTAAACAACCTTAATAAAGATCATTCCCATTAGCTTCTTGCAAAATCTCGTTTGGAAAAATGTGCCTATATTCTTAAAGGAGAAAAGTAAGAACCTTTGAGTTGCATGATTCAAAAAGGAAGCAGTGTGCTAAGAAAACATAGAACTTCGAACAGCTCATTGTCAAAATTCTCATGGAGGACCGTTCTTGTGTGCCTCGATTAATGAGTATAATGGGATCTGCATATGGGTATTGAATGATAACTATTTGGTGATTGAAAAGTAACTTCAAAGAAAAAAAAATGATGATAGCTGTATGGTTGTTTGGGAGCTACTTCAGACTTTCTGAGGGATTCGGTCTTAGGTCTTTGTATCTTGTTTTTCGTAAAGATCAAAGTATCTGTCTCTTCGGGAGGTGACTGCATTCGAACATACAAGCCAGAAATCAAGAAAGGAAGCTACAACAATATTATTATCCATGTCAAGACAGCTGTTGCTGACAACCTCCTTTTTTATCTCGGGAGTGCCAAATTTGTAAGTTTAATGTTCAGCTTTTCTGTAGACTGCTGTATGTATGTGGTGTCAGAGGATAATCCTGGTATTGGGAAATGTATAGAATCCAATAACATGCTCCCCACATTGCTTTTCACATTTGAAAACCTCAGAGTCTTACAAAGTCCTGAAGTGTCAAATTAACAGGAAGAAAATTCTCTACAGTATTCAGGCACATTAACTCAATATTTATTCTGGATTATATGTTTAGATCTATCTGTTTACAAAGAAAGGCTAATAAGAATAAAGCTTTCAAAATAACTTTTCAAACTAAGAAATTACAAGGAACTTTCATGTTAATGAAATGAAAAAAGCAAATTGCATGCTAATTTTTGTGGATGAAAACTCTTCTAACTCAAACTGGAGTAACATAAGTCTCACCTATAAAAACTCACCCATAGGATTCTGCCTCTGTCTAGTCAAAGCACTGGACTTTGCCGGAGTGTGAATCACTCCATATGAATGACTTTTCAGCAGATCAGTCATGTCATAAGTTAGTGTGTGCCATTCACATGAGAAGGTCTGGATCACTTTGGATTAAAAAATCATAGCTATGCCCTGAAAATCAGTGTCTTTGATGAAAATAATACTGAATTCTGAATTCTGTTATTTCGCATGTCTGTAAATTGGACCTGTTGGAAAGTACTCCGCTGTCCTCTCCTGTCACAGCACTTTGTACCTGATCACTGTTGTCTTTGTGATTCTCTGCACCAGATTGACTTTCTGGCTATAGAAATGCGAAGAGGCAAAGTCAGCTTCCTGTGGGATGTTGGCTCTGGAGTCGGGCGTGTGGAGTACCCAGATATGACTATTGATGATGCCTCCTGGTACCGCATTGAAGCATCAAGGTAATCACTCAGTGAAGATTAAGATAACTGAATGAGAATGTTGAAGTAGTTTCTCAGTTCATGAGAAAACTTCTATTTCCATTTCAATAAGGCAGCTATGTACGAATGCATACACATGTATGTGAATTTTACGTATTAGATGTGTACATGTGTGGGAATTTGTACATCGGTCATACCTCTTAGGAATTTACAAACCTTCATAGTATTGACCAGAGTGACCAGTCCTTTATGAGCCCTTTATATGCTATTTGGTAGGAATTTGGAGTTTTAGCTGTTTTCAATAATCTTAAATAATCTTTAGTAATCAATCATTCTATCTGTGAAGCTTAAAACCAATCATCAGCTCCGGACAGGGTGTAGACCACTTAGAGAACCATTCCTGTCCTCAGTACTTTCCTCCTTTTCTCTTCTTTGTCCAATTCTCAACTCCCCATTAAACCCAAAGCAGCTAAGAGTTGAGTGTACAGCGAAAGGCCTGGGGCTAGAGCTGAGGCTGGTCAGAGATGAGAGAACACTTGAAGAATTGACAATTATTGAACTGGGATAAGGCTACATAGAGTTTCATTTTTAAATTTTTTACCAAAAAAATTGAAAGACAATTTAATGAAAAGCAACAGTTTTATTTCATTATTAAGATATTCAGCACAAGTGTGTGTGTGTAAGAGAGAAACAGTATACTCAACGTATGTGGTGTTGGTGGCTTTAAGTATTTTACTGGGTTCGAAGACATTCAGTCTCATAAGGTACACTTATTCTATCAGACCAGATTCATTTTGTTAAAGAAGAGCCTTAGTTGACAAAAAATCATTCTTTTGTTTCCATGTATTTCTCTTAATACTGCCCCCTCAAAGATAAAGACACTGCCAAAATGAGACAGCAGGGAAAGAAACGCGACACTAAAGCTGTGTTGTGACTGCTTGTCTTAGAAGAGAGAGCAGATTTTCATATTTAACTATTCATGGAAATCAATCACTTAAAAAGGGAAATGAAATGAAACAATAATAGCTTTCAAAGTTCTGTTGATTGAATTTAAAACTGAGCTTCTATACAGTTTGTACACACAACTCTGAAGACTAGATTATATACCATATCCATTAAGGCAATGTGTAAATAGGGAAGGGTAGAGGGGTGAAGGGCGCACAGTTAATGGGGAAAAAATAAGAACCAAGATACATCATGTACAGGTACAAGCACCCAATGATAAATGTAAATGTATTGTGTACTTAAAATGTACCAATGAAAGAATTTAAGCAAAAAAAAAAAAAAAAGATGATGTGCCAAACAATAAAAGACATACAATTCCAAGAAGACTGCTTCAGCAAATTTGGATCCAAGATATTACAAGGAATTTTAGAAGAGATTATGCAGCTTATACTGCAGAAGGGTGGCTCATTTGGGGTTAACTTGATAAATTAAACTAGACAAAATATAAAATGAAGTCATATAAATGTGTTTAAATTGTATGTGTTGGAAAAGAGTAAATTATTATTATTATTAATTTTGTTTTGGTACTGGGGATCAAACTTGTGACCTTGCGCTTGTGAGGCAGGCAGCAGAACCACTGAGCTAAATCTCCAGCCCTGGAAAAGAGTAAATTATTATGTAAAGCAATGTGGCTTTCCACTTGACTTAATGTATAGCAATTCCATCAGCTAATTGCTGCTGTTATCTCATATCCTATGAGTAAACACACACAGAATCAGAACACGTTGCTCACTAGTCCTGGCTGAATCTGACCCTAAATATCTAGCAAGGATCGGACTGAGACTATTGATGGGAGATTTCTGGAATGTTCCAAGCTAAACACTCAGTTAGCTCTGTAATTTTCTTGAGCAACTCTCTATATTGTACCTCTTTTAAATCTCAAGTTGTCAGAAAGACGACACGTATTTCATGTTCTGTATTTTCTTCATTTCCACCTGTGCCCTTGAAGAACGGGGAGAAATGGATCCATTTCTGTGAGAGCCCTGGATGGATCCAAAGCCAGTATTATGCCCAGAACCTACTCCGCGGCATCACCTCCGGGCTACACCATTCTAGACGTGGATGCAAACGCGATGCTGTTTGTCGGAGGCCTGACTGGAAAGTTAAAGGTAGTGTGCTCTTCCTCATTGTCTTGCTGAAATCATCCTGACAGACAACATCTGGTCTGATTACTCGGGGAGAAAGCGTGATAAAGCTCTGCAATAACTTGGCCAAGATTTACTTAACTCGTTGTTATGAAAACGTGAATTTATTTTGAGTAACTGTTTTTCTCTTTGAATTGTGGAAATTCAATTCCAAAGCTCTTCTTCATAAGCCTATGCATATTTATTTACATAGTTATCATCTTGTCCTATCTGTGGCATCATTTTTTATATAATCTTGTTTTAGTTGCCTTAAGAGTAAAGTGTTTTTTAAATCTACCTCATTTTCTGAATCAATGCATGATTTATAGATATGAAATGTTATAAAGTTCATACATCTAATTAAAAGATTTATGAATACCATGGGAAATATCACGGGAGGCATAAGCTTTCAAATCATGATCTGGTTTTAAAAGTTTTCCAGTTGCTCGTCTCCTCATTCGTCTAGAGCAATGCACTTAATATTCATAATTGCTCCATGACAGGTTCTTGTGCATTTCAAATTGCAAAGTACCTTCATTCTAAAGAAGCTTATGTTGATTAAATGGAATTTGCTGTTGCAAAACGACCTGGGGGTGAGATGCAACAGCACAGCCAAATATAATAGATAATCCTGGCCTTGTCAGAATCACCCTGGGATGAGATTAGTCGGAAAATGTGAAAAGCCTGGGTGACCCCAAATTTATGAGAACTCGACCTTCATATGGAATGAGGTGGTTTTATTTGCTTTGTGTACGAGATGTGACTCTAAAGAACTGATTCTATAACAACACACTAAAATCATCTGCATAGAACTACGTATAAATACATGCAGTACAGAATAATAGATAGTCATCTGGCCAACTTTTTCTGCTTCCTACAAGGATAAATATAGGGGCAGCACACGATGGTACAAAACCCATAAATTTTGAAATCAAATGCAGCTTGGATCTGCTCCTCTACCACTTTCTACAGTTTGACCTTGGCCAAGTCACCTAACCCCTTAGGCTTCAGTTTTCTCAGCTACAAACCAGCAATAAAAATATTTACTCTGTTTGTGGTAGGATACAGTGATACGCTTTCATAACATCTTTAGACCCTTACTATGCACTAATATTCTAAGCAATTTGGATGAATGAACTCATTTCGTTTTCAAAAGTTACCTCTTAGTCGATATGGGCTGCTATAACTAAAATACGATAGCGCTGGGAAGCTTATAAGATAACAAACAACAAGTATATTTCTCAGAGTTTGGGAAGCTGAGAAGTCCAAGGTGGAGGTCCTAGCAGACTTTATTTCTAACGGATCCCGTTCCAGGCAGAGGGCGCTTTATTGTGGCGCCCCCACGTGATAGATGGGAGAATGCGTTCCTTTGGGCCTTTTTTATAAGGCACTAATATCGTGGAGACCTCAACCTCAGCACCTAATCACCTCCCCGTCCTCAACAGACCCATCTCCTAATAGCGTCACCTTGGAAGTTAAGATTGCAATGTAAAAAACTGAGCAGGACACAGGCATTCAGATCAAAGCAGAGTAGGCACTAATACTCTCCCCATTTTATAGCTAAGGAGTGAGGAAGAGAGAATTTAAATGTCTTTACCAAGGTCAGACAATACTTAGTGACAGAGGTTGGATTTGAACACAAGTTAAGCACAGGAGTCTCCGGTCCTAAATCACCTCGTCGTTTCATGACCATGATGAGTAATGAGATTATGTGTATAAAATATGTGCCAAATCCCTAAGAGATAGTAGTCCTACCTTGAATTGTACTTTCAGTGGTTATTATGCAGATGTCACTGGCACAAAACAACTTTATGTCAGTCTCAAAAAGAAAGACGATGTTGACAAATGAAATCTATAGGAAGTTTTTTAAAAAATCACTTTACCCAAAGTTTCAAGACTCTGAGCAAAAGCTGCACACAAGCAGCTAAAAGGACTTGCTGATGAACATTTAAATGAGCAGGGAAATTTCTCAAGGACAGCATTTTAGGATCTGAGGAGACATAGAAAAGCCGGGAGAATCCATAAGTAGGATAATCAAGCTCTGGAAAATCAAGGGGCTCAAGCTGATGGTGGAACTTTCCAAGGAACTCTCTGACCTACACTGTCACAAACATCCTCTCCATGTGGCCACAGGGGTAGGAAAATATTCATGTGAAATCATATAGTTTTTTTATCAAGTACAGGACCATCTTCTCACTTTTGTTCTAAAACCCAAACGTGTTAATCTACCATTTTTTCCAGATTATTCAACTAAATATACATTAGATTTGGCATAGAGTTTCTAAAGTCATAATCAGCAGAATGTACTATTTATTTGTAATCTGTCAAGGCTAAAATTAGCAGTTATTTAAGTTAAATTGCCAGGTTCACTAGAATGGGCTGGGTAAATTTCCTCTTTTGTGATTATGGTATGGATCAGGCTTCTCTGAACTGCCATTCCGCAGATGCTTATGGAGTCCCAGCAAACAACAACTGCCTGGTCCTTTCTTTCAAAGTCACTTTAGTTTTCTTCATTGTCCTGCACTGCATACCTACCTTGCTGCGGTGTGGTTTGTAATGTGAAGTTTAGGGCAGCACTATCAGAGGGCAATTTATGTGCATGCTTCCCATGCCCCTTTGCGGCTTCCGTGTGTATCCTTTCTTATGACCTCAAGACAGAAATCCTTGTTGTGTACATGTGCCACAAATTTGCCCCAAGACAGTGCTTCAGGTACACTAACACTAAAACTTCTCCAGGTACTGAGCCGACCATGAACACAGTATCTGGTTTAACTCCCACAACAATCCCATGGTATAGACCACAGGATAAACCATCGAGAAGTTTAGCAGCTGACCCAAAGTTAGAAGCTGGGCAGTGTTTAGTCTGACCTTGGCATCCATGAGTTCTCCATCTTCAGATTCCATCACCCAAGGCTTGAAAGTATTCAAAAATTAAAATTGCATTTGCACTGCACATATGCAGATATTTTCTTGTCACTTTTCCCTAAACAATGCAGTCTAACAACCATTTATGTAGCATTGATGTTAGTTTAGGCTTTGTAAGTAATCTAAAGAGGATTTGAAGTACATGTGAGAATTGGGCATAAGTTTTGTGCTGACACTGCCCTGTTTATATAAGGAAATTGAGTCTACCAGGAGATCCTGCGATCAGTCCCTGGAAGAGACCAAGGGACAATTGCATTTACTAATGGAGGCAAAGTGGTATAACAAAAAGTAACCAGGGTCCATTGATGAGATATTGGAGCATTTCTCCTTTCACTGACCTGTCTTGGAGTGGCTATGATGATCTAATATAGTTAAAAGAAGAATATATACATATAAAACCAAGAGTGTCAGAAAAGATGAATAATAACTCGTCTGGCTCCTGCTGCTAGTAACTCTCACAAATACCTCCAGATTATTTGTGAAATTCTATATTATAACAAATGTACTGTCTCACTCTGCAGAAGGCTGATGCTGTACGTGTGATTACATTCACTGGCTGTATGGGAGAAACATACTTTGACAGCAAACCTATAGGTTTATGGAATTTCCGAGAAATAGAAGGTGACTGCAAAGGATGCACTGTCAGGTTAGTTGGGATGAAAAATCTCAGGTCTGTCTGTGTTTCACAAATGTCTTTGTTTTATTGTACAATATTCTATTACCTTGTGGATGATGTGGAGCTATTTTGAAATCATTATGTTCAGAGGTGGATTTACCAGGAAACTAATGAAATGTCACTTCCCTGCCTGAATTTGTGCAGGCACTTGCTCAGGTCCTGGGAGTGCCCCAGTAGTGCTTTTATATGGTCATAAGTTTCTATACAACTCACACAGGTGAGATATTTCAACCACAGTCAATTAAGACAACTATCTCTTGTTGCTCCTGTGTCCCTACACATCTAGAGCTTTCTGAATGTGTGGATATCATGCAGGTGTAATTATTAATTCAGAAAGAGAGTACTCCCCAAACTGATTAAGCATACACTTAGAACCCACGTTCAGGTTTTATTTCCTATGGGACTTTTATATACTGACATGTAAGTCCTAATCCATGGGACTCTGCAGAAGAGAATGAAAACAAGGGCCCAGGAAGGACCACAATAGACAGCATCAGTTATAAGAGATAGGAACTTGAAAGTGTTTACAAGCATACAAAGCAAGGATAGAGGATATTTTTATATTTAACTGAATTGAGGATGTAAAGTAACTAACTAGAAGATTTCTCAGCATAAAACTCTTAGAGCTCCCTAATCACTTGAGCCTAAAATAGTTTAAATATATTGAATTAAAGCTATAAAATATAAATTAAATACCTAGAAGCTTAATGTGACTTACATAGCAATTCAAACATAATAATTTTGTATTTTTTTATTTCCAATTTAAGATGCAAATACTTTTCCAAAACCAAAATCACCATTAACGTAGCAGAATTCACTTCACACTTTCTTCCAAACGTTTCTAGAGCTTCATAGAAGAATGTAGCTCCAATATAAGTAGAATGCCTGTTTTAGAAACTTTCATTTATTCAATGGTCAATAAGGTATATAATTTACTGCCAACACTCTTTTTGGCTTATGAATTTATCAACATGGCCTTGAGGACAGTTTGAAAATCTGACCCACTTAAGATAGTTTTGACAATAATGTATAAAATCCACTATGGAAGGTTGCCTATAAAATTCTGTCAATACAACAAAAACAGTGAAGTCCACATTAATATTCTGTTTTCATAAATAAACACCAATTTCCCCTAAACATTTCTTTGGTATATTTTAAGTAAGATTTTCAAATGCCTATTACCAATAAAACATCTAAAGCACGTGTTCAGTCAGCAGTACATATCACATAAGACTATAACATCAACTCTGCAAAGATGTCATACTTCTAACACATAGCATATTATTCTTAGTATAATTACAATAGCATTCCTGCATATTCATAAAGTATGTTGTAGATTACTGAGATTCACAACTTCCTGATACTACAATTAGTCCAATCCAATCCCAGACATCAAGAAACTTATTACAAGAATGTGAGAAAAAGACAAGTACTAAAATAGTTGAAATGCAAGGTGTATCTAAAATCCCTTTTAAAATGTGCAGAGAATACGATGATTATTCACATTGAGTTAAGGACATCAAGATCTGCTCTTGATGTAGGAGTGAAACTTGAGATTAGGGTTCAGTACAAAGAAATAGTGGGTAGCATATGGACAGCATTCAGGTCCTAGAGACCAAAGGGCAAATGTAGGATGGCAGGAGAGCCAGAAATATATTCAGGAACGAACAAGTGCAAATTCGCTCATCCAGGGTTGGCAAGTGGGAGAAGGACTCCGATAAGTTCTTCCCAGCCTATTAATGTGCTGCATCTCCAAGGAAGGGTAGCTGAATGCAAAGTAAACCAGCGAGCTGAACACACCAGCTCAAGAGTACCCTGCCCCAAATGCAGCCCACAGAGCCGTTTCATCCATGTGCTTGCCCTCTGCTTGCTTCAGCCGACTGCTCCATCTTGGAAGTACCCACTTCCTAGGTCTCCTCTGGCCTTTTGTGATGTGGTTACATCTCTGTCAGTCAGCCTTGTCTACTGATCAGATACCACTTGTCATTGAACTACCTTCATCTTCTCCTCTGAAATAATTCCATATTTTAAATTTTAATGTATCTTTTTGAGCTGTGCAAATATTTTGAACAGAATTGTTATTGTGTTTGTGAGTGCCCTGATTATGTAGCTGCATAAGTCTTCAGTGATGTACCTCAGCACTATTTTCCCATAAGGCCTGGTGTTTATAAGATTAATTTCTATAGAATTCCTGGTATTGTTTGGCTTTTGTTTTCAGGAAAATATTCATTACATTTTAACATAAAGATCAACTCTTCAAGTTAAACAGCAAAAATTATTTTATGGGAAAAGTGTAAAAGATGAGACTAAAAGAGGTAGTCTGTGGAAATGTTGTAGAAGATGTTAGAATGCCCATTTTAAAAATTTGCATTTATCAATGGTCAATAAGGGATATAATTGTTTTTATGTCTTAGAGGGACTAATCTCTCAGGAATATACAAAATCATCTATTTCATTTTCTTAAACGTCTGAAAATCACATTAAGATTAAAATACAAAAACAACCACTATCAATAAAATTTATTAACAGAACATTAAAATGATGATGAAATTTCAGATTCTAATACCCAGTATATGTTCAGTTCTATAGTAAACAAGTTACATGTAGAAGAACATGGCTATTTCAAAGTAGCATAACTAATACTTTCTAACTTGACCAGTATGTCGTTTTCAACAAAGAAACAAAAAGCAAGTTAAGGTGCTCTGCATTTATTCATCATAAAAGAGTATTTACTTTTGCTGATAAATGTACTCAAAACAAACAGGAAAACTCGAGGAGAATGTTGAAATATTATGGAATATACCAAGAAGAACTTATATTTTCCCCATCCCAAACTCACCAGTTTCGAAGCTAGACTTTCCTTGTGTGGTTAGTATGAGCTAATGAATTAAGTGCAGAAGACTGTTCTATATCTGTATGTTTTGCCACTCCCAGCATAAAACTCTTTCCCATAGATTTGTCTTTTGCTGGAAGAGGAAAATATCCCGTTTCTCATTAGAAGGGGCTTTTACCTTTCACCTCATGTTTGAGAAGCTCAGGTGTGAAGTGTTAAGTGACTTGTAACAAGGCCTCCCTGAACAGGCATAAGAGACTCCACTGTACCTGCTGTATGACCCATTCTTTTCTCTATGATATGTTAAGGAGTTCATAGATTAGGTACATAAGGACATGAATGTATAAATGTCCTAAGTTTTTTTGTAAGAAAAATAAACGTGTTTTGTTTTGATTCGCCAAGTTATCCTCATATTGCACCATGAAATTGTTTGTTTTTTCTGGTTAGCACTTTTTAAATTCTAAGTAAGAATGTATTGAGCCAAAGCATCCAGAAAGCAATCAATGGAGACCCTGTGTAACCCTTTCCATTAATGGAAAATCTTAGTGCTTGAGAACTTCAAGGAATTTCTCCTAGGTAGGATCTCTGCAACATTCTCTTGTCTGTAATTTAATGCTACAGAAATTATTCATTATCATGATAAAGGAAGTGCAAATAATAGTCAATTTAGTCATTACCAATTATACTATTGATACACTGGTTTAGTTCCTCAGCCTTCCAGTTAGCATTTTTCATGAATATTAAAAAAACATCTTTTATTTTGTCTTTAGTGTTTTATTTATCTTTAGTCCAGAAAGAAAGCCAACTTCTTGAGAATGTGTACTTGTTCTTCCTACCCAAGTCCATTAAATTTGTAGTCTGTAAACTTTCCCATTAGCTATAATTTCATGGAAAAATATTCTAGGTTCTTGTTATTCTGTGACTACACCATAATATGTCTCAACATCTGCCTCTACTCTCAACCTACAACACTCCAATTTCAGAGATTAAATATGTTAATATGTAAATATTGAAAGTTTGAAAAATATCCCAGAAATTGAGACTTACTTTGCATCAACACCAAATAGACATAAAGATAGACATATTGTAGATAGCCTCACGTTTGAAAAAAATTTTTCAAATATTGTATTCATAAGACTTATCTTAGATATTTAACTATTCAACCAATATTGATTGACCAATATACTCTGTGAAGCACTTTTTGATACTGAAATCTGCTTCATTCCGCAAATGTTTAGTGGATTCTATACCAAGTGTCAGGCTAGATGCTATTTGTTCCTGGCCTGGGGACTGGACCCTAACTTTTCTATGGTGTCCTATATCTTCTAGAGCTTTGCTAGAAGTGAAAGAGACAGATTTAAAACACACACGTGCACGTGCACACACACACACACACACACAATACAGGCATCCTTCATTGTCTATATTCTAATCTGTTGAATAACATGTTGGATGGCGAGTATTCAGATTAAAAGCCTATATTATGCTATATATCATATATATACATATATATTGTATCATAATGTAATCTTGGCCAACATAAAACTTCATCTGTTTGCACAAATATCACTAAGACATAATTAACCACCACTATAACTATCCACCAAATATTTCTCTAAAACAAAGCATTTGAAACCAATGACCTAGTTTTTGAACACCTAAGGAAGTCCCAGTGAGCCATAATGGGTTTTGGTCTAAGATGGTGGCAGTGGAGGTGAGAGACGCAAAAGATAGAAGATATGTTTAGGGTGGCTCTTGCCATACAGCAGCATCCAGTCCAGTCTAGTCCCAGCGGAGAGTTTGATGCATTGAATCATAACACGCCATGAGGAACACATATGATTAATTCACCCAAAATGTTTCTTTCCAGTCCTCAGGTGGAAGACAGTGAAGGTACTATCCAGTTTGATGGAGAAGGCTATGCCTTGGTCAGCCGCCCTATTCGCTGGCACCCCAATATCTCCACTGTCATGTTCAAGTTCCGGACATTTTCATCAAGCGCTCTCCTGATGTACCTTGCCACACGAGACCTGGTAAAGATCACACACACAGCAGATCTTCTATGATTGAGCATACATTTGCTTCTTTTTTTGGTAGAATTCTAACACAATTAATTATTAGTTACTGGTAAAAGTATCTCTTCTTAAAAGAAAACTGGACTGGTAACAAAAAATGCATGATGAGACAACACATATATTTCCATTGATAACTTTAATCACAGGTACAATTTAATCACTATTTATTTTTCAGTATAACTCCCCATATAATCCTTTAAGAGAAGCAGTCAATAAAGATATTTCCAGTATTGCATTATGCAGCAACAAAACTGTTTTGTTTTGCTTTTTACATGAGAGGGGATTCTAAATATTCTTCATCCTCGTGTTTTTCTAGTCAATATTTCTTAGTAAAGTCTTTCAGGGAACAAATCTTTCAGTTTGCTTAATATGTTTTTGAGGAACCCGTTTGGTCCTATATAATGAAAAAAAATATGTCCTACTAATTTAGTCATGACCATTTGCACCGTAACATCACATCTGCAAAAACTCACAAAATAGTAATAGCAATTCAGTTTCTAAAATGTGTTTCTGTTACAGTGTAACATAGTCAGCAAGCTAGTCATAAGGCCATGTTAAACGCCATAAAAAAGTGAACACCCATAGATTTCTCTGTGTATTTAATCACTGATATATTTTTACTCTATTAATAGAAAGATTTCATGAGTGTAGAGCTGGCTGATGGCCACATAAAAGTCAGCTATGATCTGGGTTCAGGAATGGCTTCCGTTGTCAGCAATCAAAATCATAATGATGGGAAATGGAAATCATTCACCCTGTCAAGAATTCAAAAACAAGGTGAGTTTTTATAGTAATAAAGCAGTATGGGCCTTAATCATGCCATCTGAAGCACCCGTGAACCTAATCAGGGGAAAGACCTTGTCTGTAATTTTAGCTACTCTCAAGTTCTGTGAAAAATGGAGACAGTCATTTCTTTGGCTTAGATTATAGGTGGTTTGGATTAGACAAAACTGATTGAAGAGCCAAATGGTTCTCTGTCATTTTCTTTGGAAACTGAGAGCTTAATTTGAAAGCATAAAACTGTCTTGCAACTTGTAAAATCATATCCTGTGATAAGTTTGAAAAATGTTGTATGCCTTCCTTTCTTCCTATTTTGCCAAGATGTTTCCTTTAAAGCCACCCACAATAAAATCTACAAGGTAGGGCACTGCTACCAATTCTTTGCTTTTTAAAAATGTCCAAATTTTGTGTATATTCAAGAAAATAGTTGATCTGTTATAATGTGATGTTTGTATGGTTCTGATTTTTTAAAATCATGTCCACAAGCATTGTTTCATTTATAATGTAAGCAAATGTTTTCTTCTGTTGCTAGAGAAAAGAAAACACGTACTCAAACTTATACCTGGTTACTGAACTATGAAAAAGATCTCACAACCAAGACAGAAAGACAAGTCTCCTAGTTCTGAGCATGGCATTATTGCTATTTAGGTATAATTCCTCTATTTCAGTGTACTAGGGTAGCCCTGATACCTACAAATGAAGCTGATACCGCTGCTAATATAAATAGACCTCATTAATGTTGATGATACCAATGTGACATTTCATGAAAATTGAGATTTACCTTTGCAGTAGCTTTCATTCCTACATTTTAAAAGTATCTCTCAAGCACCTATTAAGTACTGTGCAAGAACCAAATGAAGTGCAAAATGAGTCTTTGCCTTCAAGAAACTTGCAGCCTAGTGGGGTTAGAGGAGAGAGCTGACTGCTGGAAGAGATGGGCATCCCAGTCTCAGGAGAGAGGCATCTCAGTCGAAAGGCAGAGGTGAGCTCCTGGGAGCTCCCACTCCTGATGCACAAGCAGGAAACAAAGAGTCGGTTGGTTAAGAAGCATGTGGGGATTTCATAGCGACGGAAGTCTGGAAACCTGGAGCCATTGGAGAGCAGAGTACGTCATTTCCAACTGCATTTGCTTAGAACATGAAGCCCTGCAGGAAATCCTCAGCAGAGAACAAAACTAACTCTGGGCTTCTACAAATTGTTGTGAGGCCACAACGTCCATTGTTCCCACAAAGAGGCACTGCGCATGTGCACATATTACAAGCTCTGTGTTGTCCGGTAAAAACAGTATCTAAGTCATTTAACCAAACACTTCCCAAACTTCTCTAATGACAGAGGGCTTCCCATGCCTGGAGCACTAGCATCCTCCGGAACACATTTTGAGAAACATTACAAGTGAATCCATAGGTTAAATGAACCATTATTGACAAAAAACCATCAGATGAAGCTGAGATAACAGAACCAGTACATAAAAGCCCTTTGAGCTGAGCAAATGAGAGTAGCTACAAGGAACTATGAGTCTTTGGGGTATGACATCATCAGATGCATACTTTAAAGAAAAAAATTTTTTGCACCAGCTTCGAGTATAGATTTATGACAGTTGAGAATCAGCACCAGCAGTAAACTAGGCAAACAGCAAGGGAAGGGAAAAATAGGTCAATAACCATAAGGAGACTAGGAAATAATGGAGTTGAAAGACACTAAGAATCTTAATGTTGAAAAGCTTTATGGATTACTTGATATGGAGGCTAAGTTTGAAAAAGAGATCTGGCATCATTTCTCTTTTGTCTTAGGTGATATGATTATGTTGGTGTTATTCAAGAACCTACTAAATAAAGGAAAACTAATGGGTTTTTCTGTAAAAGATGCAGAGAGATATTTTGTACATGTTATATTCAAGGTGCTTTTAGTACCTGTTGCAGCCTAGGGAAGCTGTGTGATTAGTTATAGTTATCAGAAGATCACAGAGTTCTAGAGAAAGATGAATGACTAGGAGTCATAATCATCTTCTCGGCAACAGCATCTAAACAGGGATTAGGAAACCAAGTAATCATATCTTGCATAAAGTGATCCAAAGCCATGGAACACTCAGATATTAAAACAGTAAATTAAAGAAAGACTCCATAAAGGAGACTATAAAAAACAATCACAGAAAGCAGAAATACATCATTAAGAAAGCCTGATGTTACAGGAATGAGAGTTTCTAAGATAATCAAGTTCAATTTTCCTATGGTAGAGAATGTGTAAGGAAGATAGGAACAAAGGAATTCATCAGCTTTGGGAATACAGAGGCCACTGGAGGCTTTGGCAAGAACAGTCCAAGCAAGAGCCTGTCCCAGAGCACCATGCCACAAAGCACTGTGGGAAAGCAGGCACAATGAGTGTGTGCAAATTCTGAAGGGAATTTAGCTCTAAAATCAAGAAAAAAGAAAGGGGATGGAGAGGTGGAGAGAAAGGATCTCGAAGTGAGAACATGTTGGCTTTCTCCATCAGTTCCTAGTACACAGTAAATGCTTAGTAAGTGTTTGTTGAATGGACAAATGATTTTGAGCATGATTTTAGGCTGTGGAGAATGTGCTAGTAAAGAGGAAGCAATGAGAAATACGAAAGGAAAGAGTCATGAAAGAGTCATGCACAGGCCCTTAGACTAGAGAGAGTCCTTTGTCTGAGACAGAATGAAAAATCCTTTTTCTCCACAAGAAGACGAGAGAAGAAGAGGGACCAGTGAAGGCAAAGATAAATTTGTAGGCATGGATTAAGATTTTGCAGTAATTTCTCCAGAGGTCCTCAATTTTTATTGAATATGAAAGCATAAATAGTATCATGGAAGAGGTAGTCAAATAACAGGACTAAAGAAAGAAGCAAAAATATATATGCATGTGCAAAAGATAAAACAGAAAGACACAGGAATGCTGGGCTGGGGGTGGTGCTATAGACTCTAAATGTAGTATTGTGTTAAATAAATTATGTTAAAGTATAGTGTAAAGTATAGTGTAAAACATGGAGATAGAATGACTCAACTGTGTAAGAGAATAATTTCCATAAATTGACACCTTGTTATTATAATTTCTATAATCAGCATGATACCTAGACTTTTTTATTCTGTGCATTGAAATAAGTAATCAAAAGGTTGGAGGTCCTAAACAATGTTGGCCCATGGTCAAGCTACAGAGCTGCGTAAACTTGAAAGTAGTCAGCTGGAGCCATCTACCAATGCCGAAGGTTCTTCCCCCACTCGGTGTGATTTTCCAGGTTTTCACTAGACCCACATTGTTGTTACCATGTGGTGCAGAAGCTGGAAGGGACTTTTTCTTGTCCCAAGCAGTGTCTTCTGCTTCATTCTTAGTCTGGTTTCACCCCTTCGGCATAGTTGGCTGAGAGCTCCTCTTTCATGAGTGGCCTCCGTGGGCTGCTTTTCACGGTCTTGAACACCTCTGACAAATGCACTGAGCAGTCATCCTCACTTTTATTTCAGATATGAATTATGTGAAATACCGCATTCTCTCCTTTCATGTGCTGCCACAGTATTGCCATTTTTAAAATCACATTGATCCTGTGAGAGTCAGTTGTTCAGAAATCTGATTCTCAGATTATACCAGGAACTTCGACCTTCTCTTTCCTATGGCTGTTCCCCTTTCTCTGTTATCTCTGATGTTTCACTGCCAGCTTTGCAAATCAAATAAGGGAGATTTTTATTGTAATATAACTGTAGCTAGTCTGGTTTTCCATATGTATTCTCACACATACAGTATGTAGTCGCTGAAACTTTTGAAGCATTTTACTATTCCAGCAGGTCAATTAACGTGAATTAGATTTTCTACTAGAAATAAAAGCATTGAAGCCATAAGAGAAATTGGGCTGGGGATTTAGCTCAGTGGAACCACAACTGCCTCACAAGTGCAAGGTCCTGAGTTCAATCTCTGGTACCAGAAAAAAAAAGAGAGAGAGAAATAAAGGAAAGGTTATAAACAAATACAGACTTCTATATAGATGAGAAATGCAATGTCAATATAATATAAGAATATAGTCACTTACTGTCATAGCAATATTAAATGATCACAATTAAAACACTGAAATAAGACTTGCAGTTGGATTCAACATTAGGAAAATAAAAAATAATTCCAAAATGTGTTACCACTACACAGCTATTTGAATGTCCAAAATTTAAAAGACTGATCATACTCAATATTGGCAAAAAAAAGGCAGAGAAATTGAAAGTCTTCTACACTGCTGATGAAGGTGTAAAATGACAAACGAGTTGCCAGGTTTGCATGCCATATGAACCAGCCACTCCAATCTTAGATATTCAGCTAAGCCACAGCAAAGCATATTATCCTTACAAAGACACATGTGTATCATACATATCACCTTTATTTGTGGTATTCAAAAACTCAAAGCAACTCACACATCTCTCAACAGGTAAATGGACACGTGCAGATGGTAGTTTGTCCATACAAGGGAATGGTATCTGGTCACAAAAAGTTAAAAAAGAAACACTATAATATACATGAAAATGGATGAATATCAAAATAATCACTGAATGAAATAATGGAGACAAAAAGAATAGATTTATATAAAATTACTTGCACAATGCAAAATAATCTATAGTTACAAAAATCAAATAGAGGCTACTTGTGGACAGGTATATATGGAAGGGAAGGAAAGAAGGATTAAAAAGAAGCATAAAGAAACTTTTGGGGTCATAGGAATGTTCATTTCCTTTATTGTGGTGATGAGTTCCATAGGTATATATGTATTACAAATCTCATTAGGTTACGAGGACAAAATATAGTATGTCAATTGTATGTCACTAAAACTTTAAAAACAGTGTGAATATTCGCGTTATTTAGAAATCTATAATGGTATCGACTGATTAAATATGAATAGTGAGGATGACTTTCTAGATTAGGAGAGTGGCTGAGAGTCATAGTGCTACCAAATAAAATAAGTAGTGCAAACCAGTGAGGCGGCACACACCTGCAATCCTGGCACTCAGGGAGGCTGAAACAGGACAATTCAAGTTCTATCCCATCGTGGCCAACTCAGCAACTTAGTGAGATCCTATCTTAAAGAGAAAAAAAAATTAAAAGGGCTGGGCATGTAGCTCAGTGTGAAAGCCCTAGGGTCAAGCCCCAATACTTCCAAAAAATAAGTAATACATGTTTAGGGATAAAATGATCATTTCAATTTTGAATATGTGTAGTACTGAAGGGAAATACAAATGAAAGATGGTATTTCACCTGTTTATCATAAAATATATCAGGTCCAAGCATATAGATTTTCAAGTCAATAACATAATGTTAGAAGATAAAAACATGAGTGTTAGAAACATCAATATTGCAGAAGTGTTCAAAGAAATAGAGAAGGCAAATGAGAGCAGAGGAAAGAAAATGTAAACTTGGCACACTGAGAGCTAAAAGAAGAAATTTCCTAAAAGGAAAGAAATGCTAGCAACATCAAATACTGCAGAAGTATTAGGATAAGGACCAATAGTACTCCACAGGGTCTGGAAAGGGGGTCGGAGAAATGGGGAGAGGTGGGTGAGCTAGTGCTCAAGGACTTTAGCATGGCCAGAGTACACCGAGTAGCAGGCTGTGAATTGAAATGAAGCCCCAGCAATGTGCATTATTGACTCTTAGTGATTGGATTGGTTGTTTTAAATTAATTATTCTCAACTAGCTTGAAAAACCACTGCCTCTTGAAACTCAAACACGTTCCTTCAGATAGGCCTCCCCATCCTCCTTGAGAGTCAGTAGCATCCCAGTCACTAGTAAGGGGATGATACCCTCAAGTGCATTGGTGTGCTAGTAACTAACAAGTGTGTCCTGTCCCCAAGGGCACTGATGTGGAAAGGGAGTTGAAAAGGCAGAAAGAAGAAAAGAATTACCAAATTAAAAGCAAGTACTTTATAACAGTTCAGCACTGATTATCTCAGTACTTGTTAAGGCCCTACTCTGTGCCTATTATTTAATAAAACCCTTATTTCCCTGCTTACCCATAAAAATGATGGCTGAATTCAACTTTGAAATTTTGTGTTAATAGCTTACTTTCCTATTCTGTAAGGAAAAGAAATAGATCAAGAAATAAAGGGGAATATTAGCATTTCCTAGCATTTCCCAGCAGAACCCTGTTTATTGCTATCAGTCAGGAGGGCGATTCGAGCTTTTCCTCCGCATTAGTAATAATATGCCACCCTGTATCTCTCTGTCAGAGTTACCTCTTCAACCAGTGAGTTCCAATTGAATTGTGTTGCTGCTCTTTAATCAATTTTCTTAGAATGATTTCTTAAAGTGCATTTATTCACTCAGGGATAAGGAGGAAAACTCACCTTAGTCACTGGCTTGCCAGTGAGAGAGGCAGAATCTCATTTCATGGACACCATTAAAATATCCACCAAGTCTGCAGAAAGAGACTATTTTCATGTTCCAGTCAATAGCAGCATATGAAAACTCCTTTGTGATCTGGATAAAAAGGAATATGTATGAAGAAGCCTTGGAAACAGTTTTATATATCTGTTTTCTTTCAACAACCAGGCTACTCAGAGGGATATTAGTATACAAAACTAATTTGAGGTATGAAAGTAATTACACATGTGTAGAAATTAAAGTTTATGCAGGCAATTAAATTATGAAATCTTGTTAAATTATTCTTAGTAGGACAATTATTCTTTTTGCATGTATTTGTTGCTTGCTTTTACAAAAACCTGCTTCGAGGTGCTAATAGTTTTGCTATTTGATTTTGGACATTACTTCCACGGCAATTGTGTTTGAAGTTTTCACACTGGTGAGAGTGTGGAGTATGGTGGAATTGGAGCATCTGATATTTCTCTGTGTGTTCCAAAGAAAAATTCTGAAAGATAATGAGTTGAGAGAAAATAATAATGTTCCAAGGTCAAACCAATTTGGAAATTCTTCTTGCTCCATTTCCCTCTCTTAGCATTGCATAGTAGCAAGTTGAAAAGGCTGAGAAGCCACAAAGTTAAGATGGGTGCTTAACTTTGACCCAGTATTTGTCATATTTACTTGAACCAGGAACATCATGAAACTAGGATTCCCAAAAAGGAGCATTTACCAACCTGTTGATTCAAATGCCCATTTCAAAGCCAAGATAATTTTCATCTTGCTTCAAGCAAAGATAGAGGCAAAATCCATCAAGTTAATGAACTAATATTTCAACATGAATAAAAGATCCAAAATATATGAAATAATTGAAGATTGAGTCTAAATAGATGGTATGGTGAGAACACAAATAATTCAGAAACAGCTTATCTCACCCTTAAAAATAAAGGAGGACCACCAGTGACATAAAAAAATCCCAGCCTCCCACCTTGAACCCACCTCACCTCGTGGCTTTGTCCCATAAAACACATTCGAGAAGCAGGGTGGGCGAGCAACCCACTCTCCGGTTCCCCTCTGTCTCTCTAGACTAAAGCTATTTTTCTCTCAATCAATTCTTCCTACTCTTAAACCCCACTGTTCCTAGAATTCACTCTTTAATTTTAGAGAACACGAACTCGTGTTTCAGATATCTAGCGGGTTTGGGAGTCACATCTGCTCCCCCCGTATAACCATTACCAGTAGAAAATAGTTGATTCTTATTCTGTCCCCAACTTGATGTTATAAGTGTTTGTCATTTTAGGTATTTGAATACAACATGATAGTATCATTGCATTTTAATTTTTATTGCTTGGAAGTGTAATGATTATGGTACTATTTTCTATGTTCATTGCCCATTTGTGTGTCTTTTAGTGTGAAGTCTATTCAGATATTTAGGCTATTTGTTTTATGAGGGGATGTTGGGAAGGAGGGGGAAAAGGAAGAGTAAAAATTATCAAGATGCAATATGTATATTTATAAATTCCCCAAGAGGAATATAATTATTATGTATCATGAACATATACTAATAAAAATATTACAAAAATAAATAAAAATGGATACAGAAAATTGGAAAACAAAGGTATTAAAGCAACAACAACAAACATTTCCACCTTCTCTCTCTATAATGCAGAGAAGTGACCTTCCTCTGTCCTTTTTCCTTTTTGTTTCTAAATTCTTATCTTCATCATAACAGAAATATCTTGAGAGACCCAAGAGAAAAGCAATAAGGCATGAAGACCATGCCTCCCTCATGAACCTAAAAACTGTAGTCCTTTGGATACTGAAATTTACAGGAAGACCCACAGAGTCAGCATATTTCTAATTAATTCCTAATTAGGTTCTCATTTTAATACTTAAATGATTTTTTTCTGCCAACTTGCCTACATTATGGAAAACTGTATGAAGTGGTTCTTTGATGTCCATCTAGATTTTTCCTTCTTTTCCTTAGTTTGCCTTTATTGTGTTCTAATCATTATTTCCATACTCTCTTTTGTGGATAGTTTAATAATGTATCTTATTGACACTATTGCTTCTTCAATTAGTAAACAGTTAAATATATTACAAGTGCTTCAGAAAGTTGGTGTTAACTTAGGAGTGAAGTTACATTTATCTTGACGTACCGGCAATAATATAGGCATGGTTGATTTTGCTCAAATTAAATGTTAAACTTCTTATCTCCTTCACAGCCAATATATCAATCATAGATATTGATACTAACCAGGAGGAGAATATAGCAACTTCATCTTCTGGAAACAACTTTGGCCTTGATTTGAAAGCTGATGACAAAATATATTTTGGTGGCCTGCCAACCCTGAGAAACTTGAGGTAATTGAGTGCATATTTAAAGCTAAGAATCAGGTTTTAATTAAATGGTCACCGTGCTCACTAGAGTTCTGAAGCCTAATTACCATAGGAATGTCATATGACCTTTAGCTGCAGAAAAGTCTAATCAAAAAATAAAAATTATGCTGCCCGTCAGAACAACACGAGTTTTTAGGAACTGAAGGATTAACTTGACATCTTCATTGAAGAGATGGATTGGAATCATTATTTCCCTCATAGGCACCTGCTAAAAAGTAATTAAAGGTGGAAGTGGGGTTGAATGTGGGTTTTGTAATTGCTGCTCCCCCTTGCACATTCGCAGGAGACAATGGCACTCTGACATTGCTTAGTGTTCTGAGAATTAGTCAGTGTGCCAGGCTACTGTGAGTGTAACCTATTTTATTGCTAAGCATTAGCATCATAATGGCACATTGGAGCTTTCCCATAAGCCAAATAGTAGAACTATATTAGTCGTTCTCCTGCTCATGCTAACATATTTTTTTTTAATTCATGTATGCTTTTTAGCTAGCAGAATGGGGAGACATCATTAGCTCATAGTTCAGTTAATGCAAAAAATAAATAACTAAATAGCTCAGAGAATATCTCATGGGGTATTTAATTAATTTACTGCATATCATCATAAAGCATAACAAAATAAAATCTATGGAGTACATGGTACTCGATAAATGTTCATTAAATTGGATCAGAATGGAGTACATTTGCTTAAACAATAAGAGTTTTACTAGAAACAGAGTATCGTGTTTTCAATTTTTTTGTTTTGCTTAGTTTGGTGATTTTTTGTGTGTACTAAGTCCTGTCTAGGTGTTTGTTCACTAAAAAGACAGGTTACATTTGGGGAAATGTCAGAATATTGTATGGGAAAGTATCCTGGCAGAGTGTTTGTCAATGTTTCAAAGGAGCAAGTGGATAAGCTTCGAGGTCCCAATAAACTGGATATGCATTCACCTCCTTCCAAATGTGTCCCTCTGCATTAGGGTTACAGATTCAGGATGTCAGATCAGAAAAATCATTGTAAACCAAAGTATTTGAGTAGTGATATTTAGTAGTTTTTACCTGGAAATCAACTTACTAAGCAGGCATTTGACAAATGTTTCTTGGCCATTTACTATGTGCCAGGTACTGTACTAAATACTAGGGAATCTAGTAATTCTTCAAAGCTAAGGTTTTCTTTGCAAAATCATTATTTATATTCTACTGAGTGAATTAAATCCAGTAAAAAAAACGCTATCTGAACCTGGCTTCACTTGTTCTAGTGATGGTTTTAACTATCATAGTGATTTTTAGACATCATCTACAAACATGTATATATTAACTCATTTGAGAAAGGCTAATGTCTTAGTTGTTTTGGAGACGATGTATCTCACGAGTCTTTATCATTAACATATTTTATAATGCATTTTATAATTATAAAATTGCTATAATAGGCCATATTTCAAAATAATTTTAGGTATATATTTGTGACTGATAAATGAAACAAATTATTTTTGTACACAGTTTCATATGATAAAGTACAAAAACTGTGGTAAACAAATTATTTTTACTTATACTGGTAAGCCCAAGAGGCCATGTTTATAAGCTACTCAAATACTGCATTTGTGCATTGTCCCATACAACTATAAAAGGAAGTGCTTTATAAAAAGTTGTTCCAGAAAAGAGTATGGGAAATGGTCACCTCTGAATTCTGATTTCACTTCCGTCAAAGGGGCATATCTGTTTTCCGTTCTGACAGCATTTTACACTCCTTCTCTGTACGATGGTATTTTAAAAGATTTATGATTACAGCTTATTGTTATACTAAATGAAAGTGCAATTGCAAGTAAATTTTTTTTTTCTTCTCTTCTCTTTGAGTTAGTATGAAAGCAAGGTAAAATTTCAATTTATGCATGCCTTCTTCCATTGCATGGACTGGGTAAATGTGGCTTCTTAGATAAAGCAGCATTGCAGAGGCAAAGCAGCACCGCCGCAGCTTTGCTCACGGTACACGTCATGAGCGAAGGATGCGCTGAGAGACTTCTCAAGCTGTCCTCCGCTTGCAAAGATGCTGCTACGCTCCACCGCGACTGGGCTGAGATTTGAGCTGTTGCATCCGCGGTGTAGATTTGTGCTGCTTACGTGTTGAACCACCTACACACAGCGCCCCCTGGTGACCAGCAGCACATACTCAGAGGGCCGCTGGTCAAGTTCATGGGCACAGTCTAGTCCTGGGGAGAGAACAGAGGCCTCCCTAGGGCCATGCTGTCTGCTGAATGCTCCACCTGTGCTCCCAAATGCTTACCACTGCCTGTTGCTCTTGCAGGCCTGCAAATATGCGAATATCTATGTGGCCTGCGCACCTCTTGTCAAAGCTGCTTATTTATTGCCACATTTATTTAGAATTAGCTATGGAGCCAGATGAAAAGGATTTCTGGAAATATTGTACTTACTACGAGTGTTTGAATGAACAGGGAAGAAATGTGGGGAAAGAGCATTTGAATTCTTTCCTGCAAGAATTAGCTGCCTCTCGAAGTGGCCAGTCAACCCCAGAGATGCACCACACTGGCACCCTCTGAGGCCTGATGCTTGGCGTTTCAGAGCCAAGAAATGGACCATATTGATGAAAAGGAGAAGATGAAGTTAAACTCACCCAAGCAACGTTTAAACCAAAGGCCAGAGTTTTAATACCGGAAACTAGAAAATAGGAAAAATAGGAAAAATAAAACAAGGTGTTTAAGCATGACATAGCTAGGAGACCGCTCGTGCTGTTTGCTGAAATGGCTGAAAGACAGAGCCTGGCTTTCAGTGGAAATGCGCGTTAATAAACCCCTGCTATGGCACCGTGGAGCTTTGCAGTTTTGCCTGTGAGCTGTGACCCTCAAGACACAGAGGCCGGGGGAATCATGAGGAATTCTATCACTGCTGTCATTACTTACCTCTTGTGATTTTCATGATGTTGAGCTTGGAACATTGATGCAAGCTTGAGCTTTCTTTTTGGGGGATGGTTACTGGGGATTGAACTCTGGTCCTTGCGCTTGCGCAGCAGGCAGCGAAACCACTGAGCTAAATCCCTGGCCCACAAGCTTGAGCTTGATGTATCATTATATTTTGAAATAAGCTTTTGTATTTCCATGAAACCATGAACTTATAGGGCTGACTTACTTTATTTAAAAGACTTCTGGAAAAAATGTGATAATCTGGAAGCAAGTAAACACTGCAAATGCTGGATTACAGGCATGCGCCACCACACCCTAAGCAATGCAAGTGCAATTCACACACCCCTTGGCTTTGTACAAAAATATAAGATCCTCGTCCTCCAGTTGGGCATTTGTTCGTAATTACTAACCAGAAGAACAGAAGGAGGAGAACGTGGAACAAGAGGAAATGATCAATGAAAAAAGTTCCAGAAAGAAGAGTGGGGATGGGAAACAGAACAAATACCTGACATGAAATAAATCACCCAGTACAGACTGCCAGGCTCTGATTTCCTTTTCCACCTGGTTTCTCTCATGCCATGTGTTTTTATTAAGATGAAAACAGAAACTTGGCACCAGGGAACAATGAGGAGAGAATCCATCATTACTCCATCAAATATAAAACTGGCATCAAATGGGCAGTTTCTTCGAATGCTTATTAACACCACATAAGAAAAACATTATATTTTTACCCCTAACTACCTTCACTGTTCAGCATCGTAGCCATTAGCCACAGTGGCTATTTGCTTCAAATAGCAGTTAAAATTCATGGAACAAGCTGTATTGTGGGTCCCCATGGCCACCAATGGCCAGTGACTGCCACAGTGGATAGTGCAGAACGGAACATGCCCATCATCATGGGGAGCTCCGCCGGACAGCACTGTGATGGACGAGAGGTGTTGCCACCCTGGGCCTCCTACTGTTATGTCTGCCGAGCACTTCCAGGTGCTGGGCTCTGCATTAATGCACACAAACTACGCAACTCGGCGATGTAGGTACTACCATGCTACCATGCCCATTTCACGTATAGGGACACTGAGTCCTAGAGAAGTCACATCACGAGTACTGTCACATAATAAACCAGAGCAACATGCTGGGCGAAAGAGCAAGGGATCCTTTGTTAATCCGTTAGTATGTCTGCTCTATGTTAAGAAGTAGTGAGCAGAAAGGAGGCGTGCAAGTATAATTTAGGTACAGGGTTAGGGTTAGGGTTAGGGTTACCAAATGTATGTTTTCCACATCTGGTTTGTTTTGTTATTGTTCCAATATAGAATACAAACCTTAGCTTCAATCTGTAAATGTAATTTTAAAATTTATATTTTTAGGCTATATAATCCAGAAGAATGTTTCTTAGATTGTGTTTTACTTAAAAGCTTTTTAAAAATAAGTAGTATTTAGTCCAGCTGCTACACCCAAATAAATACTCAATAAAATAAATATTTTCTTCAAAATAAACATACATATTTCTAAATGTTGAGCAAGAATTTTTTAAAGCTATGTTAACATAGTTTGATTATGCTGCCTACACAATAATCTGGTCTTTGGTGGGAAAAAAAGAAGCACTTATTTCATTATGCAGATACAGCATTAACAGATCAGTCAGCTCCTGAGCCGTGTACTGAAATACTATAAATGAAATTATTTTTAAAGAGAAGAAAATTTACAACAAGACCCCTTCATAGGGATGCTGTTGTCATGCACTTAATCCAAGAAGCAGGTAACTGGGAGCATAGCTTGCTGGGTCCAGGTGTGCGTGTGTGTAGGCTTCCTTCTGTAGACCTGACTGGCCTGCATGACAAGTGGTTCCAGTGACTTCTTTGGGGATTGGAGACTACACTGCCACCCTAATGATGTTGCTTTTGTTTTCCCCTTGACTATTCAATAGGCCAGAAGTAAATGTGAGGAAATATTCTGGCTGCCTCAGAGATATTGAAATTTCGAGAACTCCATACAATATCCTCAGCAGCCCTGACTACGTTGGTGTTACCAAAGGATGCTCACTTGAGGTTGGTCCATTTCTCAAGATTCCCGAACACAGGCTTAGCATATTTCGCTTGCTTGGTGTGAGTGCTGTTCTGAGGATCAGTCCTTTCTTAATATATTGTAGACTTCTGTAAGTCCTGGTCTTAGCTATGCACAGATGATAAATTTTGAATGAAGATTTAAAATTCTGCTTCATGTTCACAAATGTCTAGTACTTCATCACATATATCTTTAGTATTAATATCTCTTCTATTTCTCTTTTCCTTTCCAACACTTTTCCTCGATTTTTGCATCGATTTTAAATTGATCTTATTTTTCTATATGATATATTATTTTATATGTTTCTGTATAGCTTTATTAGCAACATTAATTTTTCTCTAGAATGTATTGCAAACTTAAACAGCAAGTAGTTCTTTATAGCATAACTACTAGCTTTGAAGTCTACAGTTTTGAAGTCTACCATCTTGTCTTTGAAATAACTTAGATGAGGATCTGTGGTATCCGAGGCCCCCAAAGATTTGTTGACATGAACACAACAGCCCTTGTTAACTGAATTTCTCAGGATCTCTCTGTTGCCAAAGCAGGCTACAGGCACCCTGGTTCCACTGGGCTATTCTGCACTGACTCTTCAGTTTGGGCTGACCCTTGTGGAAAATTGGAACTTTGTAATGTGGAAATGTGGAAAGGGTCCAAGGCATAGCTTTGCTCTAATAAAATAAAGCTGTAACCAGGAGCCAATGGTCAACAGCAAACATTAGTAGGGATTTTATAGGATCTCCGTAGTGATGAGCTTTTTCAACTAAGAAAACAAGAAAACGTACACTATGAAGCACACGTTTTTAATTACCCTGCTATGGTACGACTGTTCGTTTTGGCTACATCTTCCAAATACAATTATTTGAAAGTACTCCAGTATAGTTCAAGGAAATGAAGAGAGGACAGGAAAAAGAAAAAGTGAAGCTGCCTTCAGAGCAGTAGAGGTTAAAGCCTGAAACAGAACTCTCAGCGCCTTCTTTGTTCATAGCTGCAGGCTCCAATTTAGAACTGGCTACAGACAGCCCCCCTGGGTTTAGGAGTCAGGAAAAGAGAATACACACAGAATTAAGCCGAAGGGTCTCGCCTGGCTTCCGAAGGAAATTTGTACTGAGAATTTCAGTCTTCAAAGCCCAGCTCTCATCCACCTACATGAAGATGAGAGACTTCCCAGAACCCGAGCTGCCTGCGTGGGTGGCAAGGGTGATTCTATGATGGCACTGCCCAGCAACCAAGAAGCATTTCACAACCAAAATGGGCAGCAGAAATTTAACACAGATAAATATTGAAAACACAGTTTTATTTGATCGAAAACTCCCTGAATTGAAAAGTAGAATAGAAAGTAGATGATACATTTTTACCAACTCTTCTATATTTAACTCGGCTTGAAACACCAGGGGAGGAAAAATAGCCCACAGGAGAAGATGCCTTGCTTTTACACAGTAAGATCCAGGACTTTCAGGATGAATATTTAAAGCATTTTATATGCCCAACAGTGTGTATGTGCTTAAATAAATGCTAGAACATTTATACTGTGGGATGAACTCCAGCCATTAAAATTGCATTTACTGATAGAGAGCTGTCCACCATGTGTGTAAATGAAAAAAGATGATACGAAGTCATACGTCTGTCATGATTCCATTTCAATATGCAGGAGGCCAAAGGAAGAAGGCGAGGTTGGAAGGGTATGATGCATGAATGAATAAATTCTACAGAGCTCTATGCATCTGCATAGAAAGAAGGAGAGGGAACTTTCTTCCTTTTTTATCTGGTCACTTTCTGAAGCACAACTATATTAACTATGTGACCAGCAAGAACCATGTTATTATTTCATTGTGAAAATTTAAAAATGTAAAAATGGGACAAACAATGTTTGGTTTATTTACTTTTGAGATTTAAGTTGTATTTGGTTTCTAAAATGTATTCTAGAGAATATTTATACACTTGATAGCAATAAACATCTTCCGCATCGACTCCTCGTGGTGAAGAATATAGAAATAAACTGTGCTCACACTCATCTTTAAAATACAAAAAAAATGAACAGGTAGAGTGTATTCAAAAGGTGAATTATAGTATTTTCAAGGAAAACAATAATATAGATTTAAAATGAAAGAAAATGTTGTCTACCAATGATGTTCTCAATATTTTAAATCAAAAGTTCCAGATGAAAAGTCAAGGCCAGAATTTTATTTTAAACCAGTCTGCTCAGAAGATTCAAAGTAATAACTAGAAATAATGTTTTTTCAGTTTCCTTTGAGTTTTCCATGTAACCATGGGTTTTCATGCTTCTAATGCTACAGTGTATTTTCTTATCACATTGAGTACATGAGAAGGAAGAATGAAATGGAGAAGTCAACTTAAATTTTCATTTCCAATAATTCCTTCTTTTCTTTTCCCCACAGAACGTGTACACCGTGAGCTTTCCCAAGCCAGGTTTTGTGGAGCTGGCCCCAGTGCCCATTGGTGTAGGAACTGAAATCAATCTGTCCTTCAGCACCAAGAAAGAATCAGGGATCATCCTCCTGGGAAGTACAGGGTCCCCAGTACCACCTAGGAGGAAACGGAGGCAGACTGGACAGGTAGCCCATCCAGCTCAATGCTTTTGCATTTTTATATTGCTACCTTTTAGCTCCCATCTTAGCTAACCAAAAATAACATTCTACCCTCACGCTGGCCTGCTGATTCTCTCAGATCATTTTCTTGGCTTCTCTAGATTTTCCTGTTGGTCACTTCCAGGTTTGACTCACACCTATATTTGCATGTATTTCACACAGGTCAACATATGCATATATAAAGACGAAAGCTTAAATCAAGTTGTATTAATGTTTTCTGCTGTCTGAGTCCAGCTTTATACGAGATCTGTGCATGTTTAGCTAGGATTCCTTAAATTGACATTGAAAGAATTTCTTCTAGTATCAGTTGCCCAGGTGCACTAGCTGTGGCGATACAGTCTGTTGAGGACACAGAGATGGACAGGAAGGGGCTTGGCTAGGAGAGGCCAGAGCACAACCAAAGTGGACAGAGATCATTACAGCTCAAAGACATTCAAATAAAACTTCAAGTGCACACTCTTTGCGAGAATATACCTGAGCATTTATTGTCTTTTGTATAGTACTGTGGATTGAACCCAGGCCCCTTGCACTGAGCTACATTGCCAGCCCTTTTTTTTTTTTTTTTTTTTTTGGTACTGGGGATCGAACTCAGGTCCTTGTGCTTTGCACAGCAGGTGGCGAAACCACTGAGCTAAATCCCTGGCCCCCAATCAGCCCTTTTCTTACTGAGACAGGGTCTCACTAAGTTGCTGAGCTGAAACTTGTGATCCTCCTGCTTCAGCTTTCCTTGATTCCCTTATTCTTGAGTGCTAAGAATACAGGTGTGTGCCAACATACTGGGCTAAACTTGAGTATTTATGTCCCCCAATCATTTGATTCTACTAAAAGCAATCGCTCAGCTACCAGATTTGAGTATCAGAACACTTTACGCCCTTGTAATTTCCTCAGTCTCTTCAACCATATTTCAAATTTTAATTTCTTCTGTTTAATCTAGTTTTTGTCAGGGAAAAGGTTCATCCTCTGCCATGATCAGAAGACTGGAATGCTTAACAAATACACCCTTAAATATGCACACACTCTGTAAATCAGGTCGTGCAGTTTTGTATTTTATGCATCTTTTAAATTAATCTTAGAATTTAATATTATTAGTCAATAATACACTAAATAGTATTTCTTTCGCTAAAAATAATAAAGCCTACACAAAAGTATTAGCAAGCAGAATCAAAGAGAGAGACGCATACAACAATGGACAGAAGCTATGAATGGACAGTTCATAGAAGAAAAACATTGATTTCAAATGGTTTTTTTTAAATGTTCAACCTCATTGTAATGAGGAAAGTCCAACTCCTACCCACACTAGATTTTACACCCACCAGAATGGCAAAACTAAGAGGGGTGATAATATACACTGTCAGAAAGAGCTTGGTCGAAGGGAATTCTTGTCCAATGCACACGGAGCGAGTGAATGGCTACAGTCACTTTGGAAGATGATTTGACACTGACTTATAAGGTGCGTATGTGCTTGGTGACACGTCAGAAATTCCACTCCCAGGTATACCCCACACTCTGCACAAATGCACAGGAGACGTGTACCTGAATCTTCATAGAGACATTTCTTATGACGACAGAAAAAACGGAAACAACCCAAGTGTTCTTCGGCTGGAGAACAGATAAGCGAACTGGCACTTTTGCCTAAAAGCAGTAGTAACAAGGGTAAATTATAAGTAAACAAGACAACACGGGTGAATAGAAACTAAAAAGAAATGAAAACATACCACATAGTGTATGATACCATTCTTCTAGACTTCTAGTATAAGAAGCATGAAACAACATATTATTTGAAAATACATGTGTGAATTTACAAAAACCATTTTTCAAAAGCATGGGAACCATAAACATAAAAATCGACATTAAAGGTTACCTGTGAAATAGGGAAGCAGGGTAATGGATGGAGAAGAAGCTCATAGTAGATAAAACCTTATTTTCCTAAATTGATCAGTAGATTCCAGGACAGATTTACTGCAGTGAGACCCAACTTCATCATTTACATGTGGGCCTCTGACCTTGTGAGAAACATATCAAATCGTCATAATAAGAAGCTTTTGAACAATAGGCGATGAAGTTTTATTTCCTACTGCATATAATAATCACTGAATAAATATAAAATATAAAGGCTCTCTTGGATTCTTTATCCTTTTATCTTGAAAATTATTTTCTCACTATTGCAAATGATAAGCTAGATATAAAAAAAAGGATCAGACCAAACATTCTGAAATCGATTTTCACACAAGCATACGTGTTTTCTTGGTCATTCTTCAATAATTAAGCACCATCTACTAGCTTTATATTTCTCCTCCTTAAGACTAAATAAATAGAACTGAATCACCATTTTCCGGGATAGTTCTCACAACAGAACATATTCCTTTTCAAACTATCAAAATTAGGATATATTAAGCACTATAGTACAAAGTAAATTGGAAATTAAACTTTAATGGCAATGAATATCTAGTTTTTAAAATCAAACAGTAATTGCTATCTAAAAGAGGAAACAATGTTAAGTACTCCAAGTCTGTGGTAGAATCAATGCTGACTAAATTGACATGGTGTAAGTGTCCCAGCTCACAGTTCTGACATCCACGGGGTTATTTGTGACTGTGTTCTGCTAAATGGGTTTGAGATACCAAACCTTCCCATCAGCTAAGGAATTTTTCAGCGAATAGTTTGTAGTTGCCCTTTGGAGAACAGTGAATGCTAAGCAATCCAGAGGCTTCAAGCATTTTTTCCTAGGCACTACCTGTTTATAGGATTTAGTAAATTATTGAAAACATGGTGATGTTGATCAAAACCGTCACTGCTGCCACTGATCACTCATGGAGGACCGAGTTATTGTTGCACAGCAGGTGGCCTCGTATCCAGAAGAAAGGGAAGCGCATGTGGCATCAGCTTTGGGGAAGAAGACTACATTCAAGCTCCCCAGGGTTCGTAATTGGATATCAAAACCATTCTGGTTGCTACGGCAACAAAAGCAAGGAGAAAGTAGGCATGTTTGTGGATGAAAAATTGTCTCCCTTTTTTCTAAACGTGGGAGCCAAGTAATATGTTTGTGATAGCAATCTCTTCCACCAGATTGGAGAACAAATTGAAGTCTGAACTCTCAAAATGCCATGAGGCGGAGAGGGGATCTGATGGTCAGAAGCGAGCTACCTACTTGGGAACATAAGGGAGGGCTCTGTGGATACACCATTGTTTCCCGACCGGTTTTGTAAGTCAGAGGACCCACACGAGCTCGGCTGTTATGTTCAGCATCACAGCCTGCTTGGCAGAGAATAGCTATATTACTTTCCACATCCTCTGACAAGCAAAAACAGTAAATGATTAGAGAGACATTTCCAGCTCCTTTAACAACTCTGTTTGAGAAAAGATTGCATCATAATTCCTCAGGTAAGATCTCAGACAGATGCTTCTCTGTCACTACATCACAGATGAGACTCCTGTTTAATCTTGGACTCCCATGTGTTGTTTCAGGCCTACTATGCCATCCTTCTCAACAAAGGCCGCCTGGAGGTGCATCTCTCCACTGGGACCCGGACAATGAGGAAAACTGTCATCAGACCGGAGCCAAGTCTGTTTCATGACGGGAGAGAACATTCTGTTCATGTGGAGAGAACACAGGGGTATCTATCGCACTCGAGTACTTACTGTTGTAACTAATGTCAATGTCTCTGCTAGCATCAGTCGCCCCCTGAGCCTCCATGCTTGTGTGCTTGTGTGTGTGTGTGTGTGTGTGTGTGTGTGTGTGTGTGTGCGTGAGCACACTGTGCATTGCAAATGAGGAAGTAGTTTAATTTCCTCCTTTTTATATTTCATGCTTGGGGAACCTCATTGACTCGTCCCCTTAGGAATTCTGCTCCTAACATTTTTATTCTGTGCAGTTCTCCTGCCCACCTTTAGAACAACCAAATGCAACTTCTAAAGCTATAGACTTAAAAAATCTCTCCCTCTGCACCTCTCAAATATTCTCTTCTCCAATAAGGTATACACATAGTGACTATGCAGAATAGCTCGGCTGGAGCCAGCAGCCTTTGGCAGCTATTTCATTCAGGTTCCAAAGCATTTGTGGCAGCTGCGTAGAAACCTGTCATGCATAGGGAATGTGGCAGCAGCTGCTCTACCTACTGAGCATCTTATGTGTCTACCTCATCCTGTCCCTTCCCCACAATTAAAGGAGAGGAGGAGAATGGTGGCCACCCTGAAATCCATCCATGGAGCTCACCTCTCTACAGATCCATGGTTCCCAGCATCGAGCCACCAAAATATCCTTAGCAGTACACAAGCTCATTTCTCATTTCTGCAAAACATTGCCAGACTGTATATTCACTTCCTTGGCAAAGCTATCTATGTTTTTCATCAAAATATAGTACCACAACTCAGAGAGGTTATTAGCTCAGAAGGACAATCTGAGTAAACAAAAACAGAAGCCTGAAGACTTCTAGGTCCACAAACCTCCAAACCAGCAATCCACTTTTTGGACTGAAGGGATAGAAAAGAAATGGAAATCAAATTTAAAGGAACCTCAAAACACAGAGAGTACTTTCGAATGCAACAAGTGTATGAATGTGTAGCAATAGCTCAAATAAGCAGTTGCTATTCTGTAGTTAAAGATCTATATTTTCTAATTATTCTATCATGTGGATAGCAGTTTAGACAAGTAATAAGGATTTCTTATCTTCTAAGTAAATGATGAAATTTTGCTTGGCTCCTTTTGTTATTATTATGTAGAGCATTAGGTTGTGGACTAAAGTGATACTAAGCATTCATGCTGAGTGACTATGAGCCGAGATGTTTAAAAACCATGATTAAGATAAATGACAGATCGATATTTGGACAAACTCAGAACTTTTGCTAACCTAATACCCAGATATCATAGTCATGATTTCTAGGGAAAAGGGAAGACTGGATTTTCTCATTTGAAACTTAAAGAGTGCTTCGGAATACCAATTTTACATGTCTTCTAGACTAGATTTTAGGCCCTTTGCCACACTTTAATCCTTCTTATTATGGGAAAGATTTTTTTTTAAGTAAAGAATTTAAAATAGGCAAATGCATATTTGAGAAATGTCATTGACCAAAGAATTTTTGAAATTCCTAAATGTATTATGATGTTGTACTAAGGTGTCCTTTTAACAGGTGCTTCTTCAGGAAGGGCATTTTATTATGCCAGCTTCACAGATGTTGACCATAAATCCAACCTTTATTTGATTAAACTTGCTGTAAAGTACATCCCTGAAAACTGGTCATTCGGTTAATTGGCCACACAAACAAACAGTTTTGCCATTCACTGTTAATTACAGGATAATGTATTGGACATATTAGAGTGTAGTCACTGAACTCTGTGGCAAACAAGGATACATTTGCCATCCTAACATCTTCTTTAGAGCTCTGAGGTCAAAATGTAATCGTCTCCTATTCTATAGAAGTAGTGATTAACTGGAAATCACAAATGACCACATAAACTTCACTCAGAAACAAATCGGTGCTTCACATGCCAATTCTGTCATATGGTCTGGATCAAATATAGACAATCTTTTAACTGTTTTAAATGTATGCTAGAAGTATATTAATATCCTTTCAACAATGATGAGAAAGTATTAACTAACTTGCCCCAAATCACATACTGGAAACAACACAATAGGTTACAAACCCAGCTACATATAAATACTTCCATCCATGCTTGGCCAACTATTTATTTGTACCTTTTTTGTGACCTTAAAGATTCATAGGATTCCATGTTGATGATGAGGAACTATTACTAGTTTAGAAACATTTAATTTCACCAAGCACTATTCAGACTATCATCGGCAGTCATCATTTCTTTTCCTAAAGTCCTGAATAAAATGGTAATTTTAATACCACCTTGTAAAATAATTGGAATTTTACCAATTGTGGGGCAACATTTTCAGTATTGACCTTTTCTCTCCCTGCTTTGCCTCTTTTTACTCTTCCTTCCTCGATCTTTTTCTTTTTCCATCCCTTCCTCTGGAAAAATCTTACGTCAGTCACTTTGTCATCTAATTTCTGGATACTCTGATGACCCCTCCCTGTCATAACTGCTTTGCCATGTGTCCCTTCCCCTGGAGTGGTCCCAGTGGGTAATAGTTCTAGGGACAAAAATATTAAATCTCAAAGGCCTGAAATAGCTGTGTAGGCAACTTCTTAGGAGGAATGGAGTTGAGTCTCATGTGTTCTAGAATTGGGCTAAGGACCACAAAGTTTCATGAAATGTTTCAGAAGGAATTTAGGATTTCCAGAATGAGATCATGATTTGGACTCTGCAATCCAAACATTTGCTTGCTTAACAACCAAAATGTGTTCAATCAAAATTTTGAATTATATTTTTTGTGTAAATTACAAATGTCAAGGCACTTCTTTTAATATGTTCTTCCACATATCCATGCCAATTGGTGGTGGCTTGAAAACATCTTGGACCAATATGTCAAACACATAAGAAACAGAATGTAAGTAATAAAACATTTAATTATGAAATTCTGAGGATCAACCACTGAAATTGTAAAAGAAAGAACAAATGCAGCTGATCTCTCACAATATGGATAGGTAATGCAATGTTTAAAATGGTATTTTGCACAAAGTTGTTCCTCAGCAGAAAACATCATTAAATAAAATTGAAAATTGAAACACCAGAATTATTATGGACATGTTAGTAATATCCTTCTCTACCAAAGAACTAAGTAAATTGTTAGGATGCGATGTTTCCAGAATGTAAAATGCAAGTGGGATTCGGGTGTAGTAGTCTGGCAGTGCTTTTATTAAGGAAGACAGCCTTGGGCAAACCCTGAATTCAGTAGAAAGACAATCTTTAATAGTGGCACAAAGGGCCAGCGATTTAGCTCAGTTGCGCCTCACCTGCCTGGGAAGCGCAAGGTCCTGAGTTTGATCTCCAGTACCGAAAAAGAAAAAGAAAAAAAGAGTGGCATGAACCTTTCCTTGAAATCCTTGGGAACACTATTTCATCATGTTCCTAAGAGGTTGCATCAAATCCAAGAAGAAAAGGTGTGGGACGGGGTTCTCAGTGAGTCACTCATACCCAGCAGCGAGCGGTTTTCTAGAAGTCTCAAGCCACCAACCCTCTTGGCAATGAAGTTGAACCTCTTGGTCTTTGCCAATGCGTTCTTTTTTAGAGCCCGCTTGAAAAAGAAAGTCACTTCTCTCTATTTTCCCTTTGAAACTAAATCTGGCTGGCCCCTCTACACCCCTTGAAGAGTGACATTTTGAGCCATTATAAAATCCACCTTTGTTCTATTTTCTTGCTTTTGAATAGTACCAAAGTGGATTCATAGTTCAGTGGTAATTCATAGCACTGTTTTCTTAGTTCATCGTTTGCAGTCATATGTGTGGGTTTTCTTTTTCTTATAAAATCAAGTAAGATGACATGTTAAGTAAGACTGAGCTTTCCACCCCAAGTACTTTGGTTTTCTCTTCAAATAGAAAGTGAGTTTTCAGTAATCCACTTATAATCCCGGGGCTAGTGAGTAATGCTTATGACTAATGGCATCACGATGCCTGTTGGGACTTAGCACAAAACAGGCTTGCATTAAAAAAGAGAAAATGCCTTCAGCCATTTTCATCTTCTGAATGTTGTCTTTTGATTCTTTGCTCCGGGAACCAAAGATTGTTGTGAATAAATAGCATGAGGTTCTTAATTGGTAGTGTGTGTTATCTCTCATAAGCAAATTACGGAAATTAATGAAACAGCCACTAAGGAAAATCATTGCAAGGAACAATTAGCATGGTGTCCTTGGTCGCCTCTTCTATTCAAAACCCGGCAGCTACGCTCTGTATAAAACACCATGCACGTGTTTGCTCTTCATTCCTGCAGTCTGAGCTCTCAGGAGTACAGTTTGTCCCCTAGCAAGAAGATAATAGCTTGCACAAACCGAGAAATAAAGAGACAAACAAAATGTGACCCCGTGCCGTGCTAAACCCACTGATCCTCCAGCAGTTAGACATCGGCACGCAGCACAGAAGCGGGCTCTCCCAGCTCACGTGTGGGGCCGAAGACCACTGCTATCAACTTCGCCCGAGACTCATGTTGCTGCTGCACTGTTGTCTGGTCTTGGCAAAATTGCAGGCAGAGTTCATAAGAGACGCGTGGCACAAAATTTCTGGGAAATGAGAGTCCGCAGTCACCCAGTCTGGGCTCAAAGCTATGGGAATAAACAATGGTGGGGGTGCAGGAAAGAGATCTCCAACTGTACTGAACATTGTGTGATTTATATTCGTTTCTTTTACATGTTTTGTCAGCATCTTCACTGTTCAAGTTGATGAAAACCGAAGACATATGCAAAATCTAACAGTTGAACAGCCCATTGAAGTCAAAAAGCTTTTCGTGGGGGGTGCTCCACCTGAATTTCAACCTTCCTCGCTCCAAAATATCCCTCCTTTTGAAGGCTGTGTATGGAATCTTGTTATTAACTCTGTGTAAGTGACTTTATGTTTTTTTTTCAAATATGATGTTCACTCTTGCATCTACATTATGCAGAGCCATAGGGGAAGGAATCCATGAAGATCTTTAGTTTAGCCTTGGAATACTGCACTAATGACCTCAAAGGAGACACGGGGAGGATGTCACTTAGTTGTAAAGAAAGGAAAACAGAAAGATAAGAAAAAAATTCATTTTAATTATATTTGTTTAGCCCCATGGACTTTGCACAGCCTGTATCCTTCAAAAATGCGGACATTGGTCGCTGTACCCATCAGAAACCTGGGGAGGATGAAGAAGGAGCCATTCCAGCTGAAATCATTATCCCACCTGAGCCAGTGGCCACCCCGCCGCTCCCTACACCCACCCCTGAGCTGGCGCACGTAAGTGGTCACATTCCCACTCTCTGGACTTTTAGCCAGCACTGAGTCACTTTCTGAAAAGTTGTCCAGATGTTTAATATATAGTGTCCTCTGCTGCCAGAATCGGAGAGAGGATAACCTGTCTACAAAAATCTCTTCACATCTTCCTTGCAATAGTACTTGTATTTATACATCAGTTCTCCTTTAATTTTTATGTTTATAAAATTATACATCTTAAGTTGAAAAGTTGCAGAGCACAGAAATATCTAGAATCAAGAATAAAAGGCACTTAAATTCCCATACACAGAGGCGATCATATCAATTTCAGGCCCTTTCATTTGCATTTTACACAATGGCTGTCATGCCACATATAACCTTTGTATCCCAATTTTTAAAACTAATAATACAAAGTTAAAATAATTTTTTTCTAAGCATCATGTAAAGGTGTATGCCTAATATGATTTTCTATTATGTGTGTACACAGTAAACTCATACACAATACATATCAGAACTTGTGTTCTCATCATATAACCTGTTTTCAAATCCCGGCTTTCCAACCTACCTACCATGTAAATTTGCCACTCTGGGTCTCCATTTCCTCATTTGTGAAGTGAAGAGATGAATCACACATATGTCAAATTGCTATTATCAAAACTTTTAAAAGATAATGTTTGCCAAGAACCTGGCATAGACCAAGCATTTAATATACAGCATAATTAGTATACACTAATGATGATAAGGCCTGTTTTTTCAAGTATTTACTGAGTCGGGCACTAGCTAAACAATTTCCATTCAGAGTTACATATAATACTCTTGACAGCTCTGTAAAGTACAAGTTGTGAGTCCACTTGTAGTTGATTTGCTAAGAACGAGCTGTTTTAAGTCACTAACCAATCCACGCAGCGAATAAATGTCAAGATAGGAATTTTAATCCAGTGGGTCCAGCTCCAGGGTCCAGCCCGTTACCACTGTGACATTCTCCTCTTGTGATTTATTCTACTCTGAACGGCCCATTGTGGGCCATTTAGGGCTTATCCAGCTTGTCACTGTTAGAAAGTATACTCTGATGAGCACTTCCATGAATCAAGCTTTTTCGTCATTTCTGATTGTTTTCTTAAAATAGATTCTTAGCTGAGGAATGATGCAGCCAAAGGATGAGGAGGTCTAAGGCTTTCCGTATATATATCTAAACTTCCTTCTCTAAAAGTTACATCAACTTGGGTTCTCACTACCATGGATCAAAGAGTGTCAGTTTCACCATATTCTTAGCATCATATCTACAATTCACTGCTTCAGCATGTTGTCAAACTTGGTCACTTATTCTAAGCCTCACTTCAGCCTCTGTGAAATGCAGGTCTCACTCTTTTGCCTACTACACAGAGTTACTGTAAAATCATACGTGTGGAAGTTCTTTGAGAACTGAAAGAAACACATCCACCGAGACGCTCTGAGAAATACCTACTTTTACTGAGCAATTAGTGTGTGTCCTGCATCCTGGTAACATTCTATATCCATTGCTTCATTTGGTCTCCACAAGATATTAATTGTTTATATTAGTGCCATCTCACAAAAGAAAATATCTAAGATCATGCACAGTGATCTTCAATGGCCATTAGTGATGCTGGGTGATTTTCCCCGAGGCATCACCGAGATTCTCTAGTGGCTTTCAAAATGTTCCCTCCATTCTTTCATGATGTAGCTTCCGTCTGGATCCTTCCCCAGCATGAGGCACCTTCTCTTTCCTTTATATATCATAAAATCATGAATAGATGATTTTGATCTTGGATTCTCATATCTCCTTATAAAACCAGTTCTAGAAGAAATAGAGTCAAATTTGTAAGCAACTGACTTAGCTATAAATCATAACTGGCAAGAGCCATGGAAATCATCTGGTCCAATCAGCTTATTATACCTGGACAGGAATTCCTTCTGTATGGTTACAGGTGAGGACTGACAAGCTCTGAAGACTTCACTCACACGCATTCTCCAGGGCCATGGGCAGGCGGCTCTGGCTGTTAGCCTTTCGTTAGACTGGAATCAAGCTGCAAACCCATCACTTCCAGTAATGATGGGTTTCTATAGCCATATTCACTAGCATAATGTTTTCAAAGATTTTAAACTACCAAGTTCTTCTGGTTCCTGTGGTAAATATGCTATTAGCGTATTATTTGTATGACCTAATTTCTAATTCTCATATCCCCAGTGATCAACATCTTAAGTTTGGAATATTTCTTAAAACATCTAGATAGACTATACTACTCAAAATGAAGTGTCCAGTTTGGGGTGACACTGAGACCCCTCCCTCTCTTTGTCTCTTATCATTCTTTTGTGAGTGCATCTAAGAATTTTTAATGTTTATAACAGATGCACTGTGCTGCTTACTCCTAATCTGGCACCATATTCCATCAAACAAAACATTGTGAGCTTCATTAAAACTAGAATTTTCTCACCCGGACCTCTCATCCTGTACGTGTTGCTTTGGTTTAGATTTTTACAGGAGATCCCTGGTGGCCTCCACTGATCACCTCACTTTCCTATGAGCCCATGCAAACTGCTCTAGGGCGTCTCAACCACATCCTTCTGTAGAGTCTAAAGATCACATTTGTTCTGCGACAAAATTTTTTACTATCTTTGAGTTTTGGAACTCAGAGAACCTTGAACCTTCTGCTCTAATTCCAGTTTCTGCTTTGTCTCAATGGTACCTGGTTTGACTTTTCCAAAAACATACCATTTCACTTAGCAGTCAATATTAAAGCAAGAACTGAGTAGCAGCTCAACTGTTTGGCCTAGAAGGAATTATAAAGCATCATAGCTAGAAAACACCTGATAGAGCCCAAGCCTTAAGTTACACGTGAGAAAGTTTACGTCATGATCCACAGTTACACACATCATGGGAGTTGGCACGAAACCCAGACATCTAAACTCTACCTATCTCCCTGTGTCTTGCACGTTGTAGTTATTTATGGCTTTTGTAGTCAGAATTACAGTTTTAGAGCTGTATGTATCTATACACACATACATATCTTCTCTTTCGATGTTATTTATTTCTGTCTTTTTTATAGGAAAATGAGTCATCTTTTTAAAGGTTACTAAAAGTTAAAGGCTTAGTGATTTATCTTATAACAAATATTTATTTTAAAGAGCCTAATAAGTGCAAAGATGAATAAGATATTGTCTTTGCTAGCCAAAGAAGAGAGAGAGAGAGAGAGAGAGAGAGAGAGAGAGAGAGAGGAGAGAGAACTGACAACTGACTTTTCTCCTACAGCCCACCTGAATTTACTCTGGCAGGTGACTTAGCCCAACGAAAAATAAGTTAATAAGATCTCCCTTAATATTAGGAAGTAAGTTACACCTTGTGAGCAAATCGCCTAGCACAATAACTGGCTCTTAGTAACAGGCCATTGCCTTCTTCTACGTGAACTAGTTAGTTTAACCCTGCACACTTTTTGAGTGGGAGCAGCAGGGGGTGTTGGGAAGTATCCTATCTTTAAGCCATTTCAAAACTCTAACCTGATATGAGTATTAGATCTTGTTATGGTTCAGATCTAAAATGTCCCTGAACGTTCTCATACTCCAAGGTGGGGCTTTTAGAAGATGATTGGCTCATGGGAACACTGGCAGAGGGAAGCTGTCCACCACATAGTGTCCAAGAAACACAGAGAGGAGAAGCGGGGGACAAGAATACACCCTTCCAGGTCACGACCCCAGTGACCCGCCCCTTCAGACCAGGCCCCACCTTGAACAGAGGCTTTGAGGGACATTTTAGATCCAACCACAACAGATTTCAACTTTCCCATCATTATCAAGTCTTCCCATTTTCTTATCAGAAGTTAGAGTTTTAAGGATTATTTGTGAATTGAGACTCAAGGGAATTTTGGAGGTGGGAACTGTCCCATATATGAGCCCCATTGCTGTCTAGTACAGCTGACAGCCAGAATCTCCCCAGTGACTTTGATTTTCTCCTTTCCACCCCTCATCCCCAGCCCACCAGCAGCTTACAGGGGGCGGGGGGGGGGGGGTCCTGAGGAAGTCTCTCCCTGCAAAGGGATCAGTCAGTCCCTTGGGTGACTTGAGTTACACCAGCACAGACTGTATACAGAACCCTGCAACCATGCTGTCTCACTGCCATCTCTTTCTGCTTCTCTCTCGTTCTTAGCCCATTTAGATCTGGTTAAGACTAAAAACCCCATGTATTATATTTGTAGATATTTCTCTACAAATATAAATATACTAGGATGATGGAGACCCAGGTCTGTAATAATCTGGGTTTCCAGTATTACAGAAATCTGTCCGTGTGTCAAAATGTGGCAAGTCCTCTGCAGATACACACCCTGTTTAGGCCAAATCCTCATAACAAGTGTGGCCTGGGTAGATTTGTATACAATGAGCTGGCTACAGTTTTTTTGTACTTGAATCTTATTGAAAAGTTGGCCTATGAACCTCAAAGTTTAAAATGTGGAAATTAAGAAGAGTCACGTGAGTAACCTTATCAGCATTGTGCTGATAAGGGCTCTTTGGGAATTGAGGGAAAAGAAGCAAACAAAGAAGAGAAAATAAAACCAAAAAAGTGATTTCTTGGGCCAGGGATTTGGCTCAGTGGTCTCTCCACCTGCTGCGCAAGTGCAAGGACCAGAGTTCAATCCCCGGTACCAAAAAAAGAAAAAAAAGGGATTTCTCTAGCAACTTTAATACCACAATATGAAAAGCTAAGTACAGTCGAAGCCAAAGGAGAAATTGATTGGATACTGATGTGTATTTAAAGGGAAAACACTCTCCATACTTCAAGGAATCTCTCTTCAGACATTAAATGTGTAAATATCAAGGAAAATGCCCAATACCCACCCAAAGAGCTCATGTTCATGGGGTTAACATAATCCATTTCCCAGTAAACAGCTTGAGTAGGAGGGAATTCTGCATTTCAGGGCATTGAACTCACTGCTGTAAAAAGTATCTCTCTCCAAAAAAAAAGTTTCTCTCACTTAGCACTTAGCCAAAAACAAGGCCATCTCAAATAGGCATCAGATGTGATTTTTTTTTTTTTTTTGTCCACAATTTAGGGAGATTATTGACTCAGGAAAGAAAAACAAATTATGCAATTTTGTGATGATTCTTCATTTGTACTTTCAAGAACAACAATGGCAGTTTCGATAAATGTAATTTAAATCCTATCTAAATCCAAGGGATGCTCATTAGTGAATTCTATGCTACCTTGAATCCAGTATCTTGTTTCCACCCGTCAGTCACCAACCAGCAGTTAGGAATGACCACTGCCTTATTCGCACCTAAAATCGAACAGGATGAAACTGGTGTTTAATCTTCCGGGAGCCGGTTCTTTGCGAATCTCCCCAGCCCGTCCAGTTCTCAGCGGCAGCTGCGCCTACCCAGACTCGCCCAGAGTCCAGCGCCGGCAGCTGCAGCGCTCCGAGCGTCCTCCAGCTCCCGCGCTCTTGTAGTATTGCAGGAGTCCCCACTAGGTGGCGGAATTGTAACGTGCTGAGATTGATGAGCTCTACTGAGACTGGTTTTTCTTTTTATTGTTGTTGTTTAAACACATTTCAGAGATCAGCGTTTCCAAACCAGCACAGGAAATCATCGAGGCCTAAGGCCACCCCTCTGGCTCACTAGGCCGAGAAGAGGCATCATCGCCTCGCAATGGCCGCTCTTCGGGTCTTCAAATTCGCTCCCCGCCTACCCTTGTGCTTCGCTGGGTTTCCTTCCTCGTGCGAGTTGGAAACGTCCTTCCCAAGATCGGTTCAGTCCGCAAAGCGCAAGCGAGTTCTGACCCAGCCCAGTTTCTCCTCCGAGCATCGGGGCCGAAGCGGGAGCCCGGGCAGGGTGCTGGCGCCACGGGCGGCCGGGGCGATGCGGATGCGGCCCCTTCTCCTTCCAGCCGGCCGAGACGCCGCTGGACTGAGGTTACCCTGACCTCCCAATTACACCCTGAGGTAGCCAAGGAGAGAGCCCGCTTCCTCGGCGCTTCTCTGCGCTTTTCCGATTGCCAGTGTTACAGCGATGGAAGACTTTATTGAAGCAGCGCCCACAATACCCATCCTCTGCAAATCTGCGATGGCGAGCACCTGTTTGGATGTAATTAAAGAAGAGTAAATCTGCCACGGTGGCGTTTGACCTGAGGCAGAGCGATCCGTGTCTCCGCTCTCCTCCAAGCTAGGCCGCTCTCGGTGCTCAACGCCTGGTCTGCAGCCTCTGCTTCCGCCCGTCCCTCAACTCGCCCTTTGCAATGTGAGGCAAGATCCTCTAGGGGCGCTCTTCTTCCTGTTTGGAATGGCGTTCTGGGTAGTGACTCAGAAGGAGACCTGGATAAAGCGCCTGTCCTTTTCTGATCAAAGGCCTTTCCCAAAATAACAGAAGCAGGGTCTTTTCCTCTAGTAAATCTGAAAATATGTGACAAAGAACCGCCTCTCAGCTCGGAAGCAAGTTTGCAAGTGTCTGTCCCATCTACCAACAGCCAAAGGGACCCTGGCTTGGGGCTACCCTTCCACAGGCAAAGACAGAAGTTCCCCAAAACATGCAGGTGCCACCAGTGGAACACCACTCTTCACAGCTGTCACCTTGGTCGTGTAGAAGATCACATTAGAATCTCACTTCGTGTTGCTCATGTTAGAATATTACTTTATATGGACATTTGTGTACATGAACAAGTGGCTCCAGTAGTAGCAATCCTAGGGACATAAGCTACTGGTGGTTTTCCTTTAGCCTACGCATTATTGTTGTCTAATTCTTTGGGCTCCATTGGCCTTTTCAGCTTCTCAGTTTTCAGAGCTGAGAGTTTAAAGGTGTTTTAGTGAAATTCTGCCCCTGTGGACTCACAGCAGAAGGGATTCTCAAAGGTTTCTGGGGAGGACTGCAGGCCACACGTGTTTGTTGTGAAGGTCTTCAGTATAGAAAATATCTCAAGAGGTTGATTAAAGGACCCGATTCTATTAAGAGCGTAATTGTTAAACAAGGCATTAAGCCCCCAAACCCCTTCCATTTGTGCTCTTTGTAGGTAGGATAGTATGAAAGATGTGGTATGGTGTGAAAAGCAATCTCCTGGCCTCCTCACTGGGTTTTTGCATAGCTATGGGCATTTCAGCCATAGCCTGCTGTTTATAGCTCACCGTCTCCTGGAAACAGAAGGAAAATACTTCCGTGAAGACCAATTTCATACCATTTCAAAATACTTTTGGCCTTTTACCTGCTGGGGCAGAGTCTTGCAATTGACTAGGCTCCAGAGAAAACAGCAAGGCTTTTCCACAAGTGCAGATTGCCTGCTGATGAGTCATCGTGGAGGTTCACTGCTTGGGAAGAACCCCTGGCATCAAAAGCAGCTGTGGGCTGCAAGGAACCTCTGTTGCGTCAGTGCTCACCAGGACAGTGGCCAGTCCAGAGCTGTTGTGCTCAGACCTTAAAAACAGACATGTTGTTTCGAGTATGCAGGTTACTGATTTCCTCATGTACTGCACATTCTGAATGACTTCTGAAGCCTCCTGTACATCGAGCTGTCTTGTGAAAACAACAGAAAAAGGAGTTGTGGCTTTGGTTGTGTAAGGTGCCTTGATTGTTGAATTGTGCATTACAGTTGCCAAATGTGGTCCAAGGAAGCAGGATTTGCTACATTATTTGAAGGGCACAGTGGAAAATGAAAAGGAGGGGGCTCCTGATCAAAAATTATTAAGAATTTCAAAATGGTGACAGCAGAGTGTTAAAGCAAGTGACTGCTCAGCAGTGTACCTAGCTGTCCCTCTTAAGCACCCTAGGAAGCTGATCTTTGAATAGTAGCAGTGGAAATGGTATATGGTAGGTTGCATTAAAAAAGGTGCTGGGTTGCCTAGCAACTGGCTGAGGACCTGAAGGGGCTGACGTGTAGGTTGAGATAGACCATCTTGAAAGACTGAATTCATGGCAACCTTCTAGTGGGCCGATAATTTTAGAGGAAAAGTAATTGTGGGAGATGGAAATGGGGGGGTAGCAAGGAACTCATTTTCTCTGCTCTTGTAATTCAGGTGGCTAGCCTGTCATTTTCCCGTTCAGTTTTCCAGGACTAAAACTGTAAGTGAAGTAAATGTGAAAAAGAAATTGCAGTTTTCCCAGAAATATAAATAATGCTTTTCCTTAGAGGATAGTGAAAATATGAATTAATCAATAAATTGTCGAGCATACTCATTTAGCAATTCCAGGGTGTAATATAAGAAAACTGATTTATAGTCACTAAGCATTTAATAATAAGCACCTGCTATGTTATAGATTACAGAGATGAATGTGAGAGCTTTTATTCTTAAGGAATTTAAGATTATATAAGGGCATTAAGGTAATACATAAGGAACAATTAAACAGCAGTGTTACCTATTTAAAGAATGGAGTCTATAATCTCCTGTCTTTCCCTCCTTCGTATTTTACAGGGTCCTTGTGCTGCGGAATCAGAACCAGGTCTTTTAATGGGGAGCAAGCAGTTTGGGCTTTCAAGAAACAGTCACGTTGCAATTGCATTCGATGACACCAAAGTTAAAAACCAGTATGTACTATTCCACAATACTACATAAGAATGGATAAATGAAATATTGAGCATTAAGGATCTATTTATTTATTTTTTGTAATTCACTGAGTACAGTAGAGAATAGAATTATATTTGTCTGGCCCTCAAGAGCCCAGTTTAAAAAATTAGCAGCTCTGGAGATTCCTCCTGTCAGAGCAGATTTTTTTACTTCCTTCATGAAAATGCACCCATGATTTGGCATCAGTCTATCAGCATAGGAATCCTCTCATTTTCCTCTTTTCCTTTGTGTGCTTATATTTTATAGCCTCACAATTGAGTTGGAAGTGCGAACTGAAGCAGAATCAGGCTTGCTTTTTTACATGGCCCGCATCAATCACGCTGATTTTGCTACCGTTCAGCTGAGAAATGGACTGCCTTACTTCCGTTATGACCTGGGGAGTGGGGACACCAGTACTATGATCCCCACCAAAATCAACGATGGCCAGTGGCACAAGGTAGGTCTCCCCACTGTTCTCAGTGCCCTGAGGAGGGCTTCTGGTGCCTTCCCTGGTGTCTGCGCTGTTTTGCAGGTGTAGACACTAACACTGCAGCTGCCGAAATGTGACAGAGGCTAAAAATACAGCAAGCACCATATGCAACTCCTGCAACCTTGGAAAATGTGATCAGACCTGGCCTGGTGTATATGTGGCTGTTTGCATGGTAATACAGGGTTCTGCCATTGTGACACAGCTGTGGTTCCCAAACATCTGTCCACAAACAAGGGCCAGGCTGTGGGAGACTTTTCCAGTGCTCCAAGTGAGGATGGTGACACTACAGAGTACTTAATCATAAGGCTCTTGGTATTCAATTTATATTTATTTATTCTTTAAAATAAATACATTGTTTATTCTTAGATTATGTGTTCCAATATGCAGGCTGCTATTGGTCTCTCTTTAAGGAAATAATATTTGGCAAAAGTAAAAATTGGCAGGATTAAGATGAGCCCTAAGACCTACCTCTCACCCCTGTGCACATTGCTTTGAACACCAATCGTCTGGGAATCTCTACAATATCATGTTTAAAGGGCTCCAAGGTGCCATTTCTGCCAACAGTCATTTGGAACAACTTTAAAACATTGGCCTTACACCCAGAAACTGGCGACGACATGGGCACAGAAGGCTCATTTGCCAGCTTTCTATCCTGTTTGATATGACTGCAAACAGATAATATACTACCTGATTAAAACGAACACTGAAAATTTGTTTCTGCACCTGTGATGGCCTGTTAAGTAAAGTTTCCCTAGGTAGACCAACAAAATGTTTAATTTTCAGAAGCTGAAAAAAATATGATACAAACTCCAGGTCAACGCATCTGTTATCTTGGGATAAGAAACCGAATCTCCATGTTTACCTGGGAGGTTCTGACTGGCAAGAGCTGATCCCAGTGAAGGGGCTCTTCTCTCTCATTTCTGGCTAATGGGATCATACATTTGACACTTGAGTAAAAGACAGATTGTCAGGCCACCGTGAGGCTGATATTAAGAAAGGGAACCTAAACACGATAATTAGCCAAATTAAGAGTGGCCTTTTTTGACGGTTTTTAAAAGTCACTTCCCAAAACCAGAATAGAAATGTGTAAAGGGAGGTGTTAAATTACTCTAATCCCCATCCAGACTCATTTTTAAACCACCGTTGGGCTCCAGCATTTCGCAGGCTTTCACACTCCTTCTGCTAAATTGAACCTCAAGGATTTGATACCAGATCCAGTCTTCGTTCCTCCTTTCCCTCCGTCGCAGACGATAGTTCACTCTGCTGCCGTAATTTCGGCCTCAGTCAGGTTTCCGCCTTCCTCCCCGGCTTTGAACTAATCAGCAGCTGCAGAAAGAGCCTTGTTCTTCCTCCAGTTCTGCGCAAGAAGAGCCAATTAGGAAGGCCGGACTGAGCGCGGCTGAAATGGTGCTTGGAGGGCAAGCTGTGCTCAGAATAAAGCACTTTGAAAAGGAGACGCGCAAGCGCATTGTGCAGTCTGCTTTGTTCAAGGACGGTCCATCAGTCCACAGATGTCCTTACAACAGGTCTCTCCTGAGACATATGGCAACCTCTGGAAGCAACTTCAACCTAAAACCTACCCCCCAAAAAGTATCCTTTTGGAGGTGGTAGTCATGGAAAACACGAAGTTTGAAATATTGCACCAACTAGGTTACTTTCACTTTTATTAGGGTCTTAGCCCATCCGTTATTACACTATTCTTTGGGATACCGTAAAAGTTCTTGTATCTTCTCCTCTGCATATTTGAAATTTGTTCAAGATTGGAATTAATGACTTCTCCTCCTTTTGCAGATTAAGATTATGAGAAATAAGCAAGAAGGAATTCTTTATGTAGATGATGCCTCCAACAGAACCACCAGTCCCAAGAAAGCAGACATCCTGGATGTTGTGGGAATGCTGTTCGTTGGTGGGTTACCTGTCAACTACACCACTCGAAGAATTGGTCCAGTAAGTGTCTGTCTCTTTTGATTCATTGCCTAAATATCTACCTGAGTCATTTATTGGTGTATGTATTTTTGAGTTATTAGATCAGATGGGCTCACAATCACTTAAAGGTAAATGGGAAATCATCTTTTCTGAGAAGCAGTAGAAAGTTTTCTAGGAAGATCTGATTATGAGAGATCATAGTCAAACTCTAAGGGTAGACCCTGGAGCTATTCAACCTTGGACTCAATATCTGCATAACCATTCACTGTGTGACCTTGACAGAATTACTCCATCTTTATTTGATAAAGTTCCCTCTTTTGCAAGATAGGAAATAATATCAAACAGAGTTGTCATAAAGATTAAACAAAGTGATATATTTAAAGAGCTTGGAAAGGTATCAGCATATAGAAAGAAGGATGAGGACTATAGCTGGTATTCCTAGTGTTGTTTCAGGACTAAAGAGTTAGCAATGACTGAGAGATGCAGGGTTTAAAGGACACACAATTTCAGGTTCAGAATTTAAACTCCTCACAATTTTTAAATCAATATTCACAAAATAATTATTTGTCAGACTACATGTCCTGGTTTGCTTTGAAAGAGGTTATTTTGAAAAGCACAGGTAATTCTTCTTTTTGGAGCACTAGACACAAGCGTGATACATTACATTTCTATTCTCAAATTAGAGCATATGATAAGGTAGATTTGTTCATTCATGAAGGAGAATGTCTCATTGTCATTGTAATTCTTAGCATTTGGCTTTTCTTGTGAATGATCCAAGTTACTTTCTTTTCATGGCGAGATATGCTACCTAGATCTATCAAAAACAAGAGTCTCTGAAGTGATGCTGGGAAATGTGATTAAGTTGAATTCCTAAAACCAGATGAAATATAATAGAACAGAGTATGACTGAATTACTTCTAAATTCCTTGAGCCCCACATGTGTTATGCAAGCTTTGAAGTTTTATGTGTATATGTGTTTTCCTGGGGAAGAGCCCACTGCTTTCATTAGATATCTAAAAGGAAGAACTACTGAGCCAACCTTAATTACCATTTCAAATAGAAATTGAACATAAATTAGAACAAAATGTATGTAAAGTTAATAAATTATTAATAGAAACATGAAATCAGGAACATAAGAGATTCATCAAAACTTATGGTGCCCGTATGGAGCCCACAATTCTGTTAAACAAATGGGGACAAAATGGACAATGTGCAATCCTTAAAGAACCAGATGATCAGGTTCCTGTCTGGATGGATCCAACTTGAGAAGTACAGAAGTTTTGGTGCCCATGCTGTGAGGCCTGGAGATTAATAGGACAGACCTGGGCAGTTTTGAGGGATACTCTAAGACAACTGGTTCATGGCTCCATGCATAGAGCACCCCACAGAAGATTAAATTGAACATCAAGGCAAAGTTGTGCTAGAACTTGCCATTTGTTCCCACTGACCAAATATTTAGGTGACCTACAGCATTGAAGGCTGCATCAGGAATCTGCACATGGAAGAGGCCCCTGTGAATATCGAACAGCCAACCTCCAGCTTCCATGTTGGGACATGCTTCCTGAATTCTCAGAGAGGAACCTACTTTGATGGAACAGGTTTTGCCAAAGCAGGTGAGGCTCTTCATTTTCTCCTGTTGAATATCACCTATGCATACATTCTAACTTCTTTTATTTCCATTTAGTTTATTGGTACATTTTAGGTACACAATACAGTTACATTCATCATTAGGATCTTGTACCTTTTTATGATGTATCTTGGTTTTTATTTTTTCCCCATTCCCCTGCCCTCCCTTCACCCCCTCCACCGTTCCCTATTTACAAACACTTGTTTTCCATGTTTTTCCTTTTCTCATATTTTTTCTTTTCCCTTCTTTCCTTTCCCCTACACCTCCCACTTCCCCTACTCCTTTAGACACTTTCATCCTATTTCACAATATCAATTATACATTTTGATTCTTATTTACACTTTTAGTTTTTAACACCAGAGAGACTATTCAGTATTTACACATATGTGTCTTAATTATTTCACTTAAGAGTATGGCCTCAATGTGCATCCACTTAGCTATAAATGTCTCCAGTTTCTCATTCTTTATGGCTGAGTAGTGCTCCATTTTACTAAAAAATCACATCTTCTTTATCCAGTCTCCAGTTGATGGACAATTGGGCTGTTTCCAAGATGTTGCTATTACAAACGGTGCCACTTTAAACATAGGGGCACATATATCACTGTGGT